TTCCAAGCACCAAGGATTTGCACAAATATATTATTTCCTAAAGGATACAAATCCGTGGGCCTCACGGATTTGGATCCTTTTTTAGATTCAAATCCATGGGCCCACGACTTTGCAAATCCCACATTTCGTTTGGGGTTTGATAATGGAAGACCAAGTTGTGAGACAAATTCATGATAAAAATTAACCAAACAAACAATGTACTCTTACAAATCTAAAATGCAACAAATTCATCATAAATTCAAAAAAATTTAAAATCCAAAACCCTCATTTTTAAATTCAAGAAGAAAATTCAAGAAGAAAATGGAAAGAAAGAATCAAAATGTGACGGGAATTGTGAGACGATGATCTGATCCAACCATATTGGAATATTGCATCTGATCCAGTATATAGTAAAGTACCGAGTCACATTTGGATAGAGGTCGAAAGAAATGGGTCCTGACCTGATTAGTACTAAGCCAAATATCTAAAATCGAAAAATTTATAAATGCTATACTAATTTTAGATCCAGAGAAGGATTGAGTCGTGAATTGGTTGGCCTCCCTGTAAATTAAATCCGCCACTGGAATGAAATGGGTTAGTTTTTTTTGGTAAGAATGAAATGGGTTAGTTAATCTGGCGGTACAATTTGTAGTTTTTTTTTTAGAAACAACTCCGACTAATTTTATTAATAAGAAATGTTTAAACATGATGGCTCTTCACTAAGAAGAGAAAGCAAAATAATTGGTAGTCTATCCACCCAAGTCCCAACACTCATCCTCTTCCCAATTGCAAGCAACATGGGACATGCTATGTGCCACTCTATTTTGGGCTATAGGAATGTGACTCCATTCTATTCTATTGAAAGCCCGGCCCATTTCCCTGATTTCTCCTATGATTTGGCCCACTTCTACGTTAGAGACCACCTGGCCTGAGATGAGGCGTTCCACCTGCTGGCAATCTGTCTGAACTGCGATGGAAAGCAGCTGAAGACGGTGTGCCATTTCCATTCCAAACATCACCGCCATGGCTTCCGCCTCCAACGCTTCCCACTGCCGTCGTGTTCTCCTCACCACCGCCGCAACAAAACCCCCATCCTTTCTTCTAATAACGACCCCCAATCCCGTTCCCTGTTCTGGTAGACAACCCGCATCTAATGAAATTGTGAATTCTATCGATAGAGAGGGTCTCCAATTCCCTTCGACCTGGCGATTATCTTCTGGTCCCATCTCCTGCATGTTCACGTATTCTTGAAGCCACTCTAATGCTCTTGGTACGATTTCCCATTCCTCCAATTTCCATTTATTCCACAACTGATTGTTTCGATGTTCCCAGATAAACCACAAGACGCATGGTAAAAGGTTGTATTGACTTAATTAATGGCATTGATTACATGGGTATAAATACACGGAATGCCAAGGATATAATTACAGAAATGCCATAATAGTAAGATTCATTATGCTTTCTATCACGCCCCCGCAAGATGGAGGAGTGCACGACGCCATTCTTCGACTGTAGGAGCTGAAATCTAGATGCGGGTAGCGACTTTGTCAACGCATCGACAAGTTGATGAGTTGTAAGGATATAGCAAACATGAAGTGAAGATTCTTGGACGAGTTGACGAATAAAATGGTAATCGAGGATGACGTGTTTCATACGGGAGTGAAACACCGGATTGACTGAGAAACTGACAGCCCCAAGGTTATCAAAACCAGACCGGACTACAAATCGGATTAACGAGAGGTTAAGGTTTATCGAATAATCATTGATTAACCGGTATAAAACCAATGACAAAACCTGTAATATACAAAATTTTCATTTACAAGGTTTATTGTGCCCTTTTAAGTTAGAATTGGCATTTTCGCTTTTCACCACAACCTAAATTAATCTTATCTTTTACTTTAATCGAGCCTTTTTATCTTGAGCCCATTTTCCAATAAAAAGAAAGATGATTAGAAGTCCAAAAGTTGTTTATTTCTTTGGCTTCTTCCTCGCAACCCTATATCTCTTCTCTATTATGCCTTCAAACCTTCTATCCCTAGGTCAAAATCCCTAATTCCCTACAAATCAATTTCAGTCCCCAACTCATTGCAATGATATGTAACTTCGTCTTAGCCCGACCAATTTTGCGCCGCACATCTGCTTCGCATTCCTCATATCACCAACCCAGTCTCTGCCGCTTCTCCGCTCCTCACTTTCTCTGGTCTCAAATCTGCTTCTTCTTCACCCCCTCCAATCCACTCCACCGGTTAGTACCCGGTCAGGCAGGATTGATTCCGTTTTGATGTAATCAAAACCGGATTGCTGACCGAGTTCGGCTAACCTCAGCATGACCGGCCGGTCCGACCCATTTTTGATAAAAATGGTTAGGGCATGATATTCAGCCTCGGTGCTAGAATGCGCAACAGTGCGTAGCTTGTTGGACTTCCATGAAACAAGATTGCCTCCGTATTAAATCAAGTAACCCATAGTCGAAGTGTGATCGTCTTGATCGCCCGACCAGTCCGGTTAAAAAAAGCAACAAGAGCACAATCACAAAGAGGAGCATAGACTGAGAGAAAGAGTCTGTGTACCCTAGAGATAACAGAGAAGGTGCTTCACAGATTGCCAATGAGTTTGCGTCGGAGCATATGCATGTACCGAGATAACTTGTTCACGGCATAAGCAACGTCAAGGCGAGTGCGGAATAGGTACTGTAGTGAGTCAAGGACTTGGAGATAGAGAGTGGCATCAGTAAGAGGGGAGCCATCTTTAATAGTGAGTTGTGAAGAAGTAAATACACATTGATATGATAGAGTAGCAGAGGAATATGCATTGGCAGGGGTGGGGGCGAGTTTGTGAGGGCTATAAAGACGTAGCCAAGGGTAGCATAGGTAACCGAAGGCATGAAGTTTGAGATAATTAGGATGTTCATCGAACAAGGAGAAGTATGGAGCGTGATCGGAAAGGGAGGTGGAGGGGAGACGATTGATTTAATAGACTACGGTCTGGAAGGCAGAAAACTAGAAAGTAGTCGGTAAAGAGGTAGAATGTAAATGTGACAACTCGGTTTTGACGATATGATTGTGCTTTCATTCGGCTAAGCCGTTGTGTTGGGGTGTGTGAGGTGAAGTGAGAAGGTGAGTAATACCGTGAGTTTGAAAAAGATGGAGAAGTTTTTTAAATTTCCCTCCGCCCTCACTGAACATGCGACAGACCTTAGTGTGGAAGAAGTTTTCGATCAAGCGTAAAAAGGTGACGAAAATGGAGCTGATGTCATCTTTTTGTGTAAGAGGATAGAGTAAGGTCTAACGAGTGTAATGATCCACAATCACAAGATAATAAGAGAAATTGTCATAAGAACCAACGAGAGAGGGTCCCCTAACATCAGAGTACAATAAATCAAAAAGACGAAAGCTAGATAAAGTAGAGACGGAGAAGGGAAGTTTATGTGTTTTATGAAGTAGACAAGAATCACAACAAAAGGTAGCAGACATAGACGAAATGTGGAGAGCTTGATAGCGAAGGACACAAGTGAGGAGTTTGAAGCTGGGGTGACCAAGACGATGATGCCAAACGGTAGAGGAGGTGCGAGTGGTGGCCAAAGCAAGTCGGAGAGCCTTCACATTGTGTGACAACTCATAAACATCACCCTTATTATAGCCTCTTAACAGGTGTGCCCCCGTGGTAAGATCCTTCACAACAACAAAATCGACAAAGAATTCTACTGAGATGGGGTTAATTTCGCACAACTTAGCCACTGACAAAAGGCGTTGTTTGGAAGTCGGAACACACAGAGCATCAGTGAGCGACATTGAGGAATCACAAAAGGAAAGATAAGAGGTGCTAATGTGTGTGATTTTCAAAACTGACCCATCACTAGTGAGAACCTCATCTATCCATTGTAGTCGGAATAGAGAGAGCGCCAATATTCGGAGTGATATGATTCGTTGTCGAAGAATCCATTAGCCAACCCGTTACCGAGGAGGAAGAATAAGCATAGGTGTGGTAGGCTTTGGGACGACCGTAGATGCGATAGCATTATTTGCCGAAATGACCCGGCTTGTCACAAATATCCGCAGGCCCCCACAACTGTGGGAAGCCTGGATAAGGGAACCACCTCGGTCAAGTCCAGTGAGAAGGTATTGTAGGGGCCGATACAACATTGGCACGAATACCAGGCAAATCGGCCTCAAAATCAACTAGCCGATCATGGAGGTCTTCTAGGAAAATGGTGGTGTCACGAGCACGGATAGCAGAGGAGATTTGTCCACATTCTTAGCTCTGACCACGAAGGATATGAAGAATCAGATCTTCATATTTGACGGGAGATTGAACAACAGCCAACTCAGTAGTCGTTGTGCGCATAGCCTGAAGGTACACAAAAACTGACCGAGTGCCTTGATTCTCACGGTTAGCCTTTTCCTTCATGTGGATAACACGAGATCGGGATCGACTTGCAAACATCTGTTCAATAATAGTCCACGCTTGCCGAGAAGTCTCAGCATCAGAAACATAGGAGACAAAAGGAGATATAGAGGCAAGGATCGCATGGAGAAGGAGTTGATCTTGGCGAGAGCAACGTTTGCAAAAAAGAGCATCCCCAGCAAGCATGAGAATTGAGATTCAGGAAGAGAGCCATTCTGAAATTTCAGAATGTCAAGACCACGAGGAAGAGTTTGCAATTGAGCACGTCATTGAGATTCGGGATCGATTCACTAGAGTTTTTAGACATAGTAATAGCAGTGTTTGTAAAATTGGACCTACCCATAATTCGATTGAGAAATCTTCTACCGGAGTCTAAACCGATAGATAATTTTTCGCGATATAAAACTGTTGAACCTGCATAAATTATCCTATAGTTGACTTTTTTGTTATATCTTCCGATAAAATTTGGAAGGTACAAGAAAAAGACATGGAGAGTAATATTCTCTGAAATTCTCAGCCCACAAATGTCCAGGTTCATCCATCCACCATTGACCAAACCTAATACAAAAGGAAGATTGCAGAGAAATGAGCGGATAACTCAATCGCAGTTGGCTCTTCTCTACTCACAATTCCTCCTCCTCTCCGTCGTCGCCGCCGATCCCCAAATCCGCCAAATGGCCGCACCGACCACCACCACCAACAACCCTGCATTCGACCCGGACCTCGACAAACCCGACGACCCGACCCACGAGCTCGCCCAGTTCGGCGGCGGCTGCTTCTGGGGCGTCGAGATCGCGTTCCAGCGCGTCCCCGGCGTGGCGAAGACGGAGGTCGGCTACTCTCAGGGCCACCTCCCCGATCCCGACTACAGAGCCGTCTGCACCGGCACCACCAACCACGTCGAAGTGGTCCGGGTCCAATTCGACCCGCGAGTCTGCCCGTACGCCAATCTCCTCGCCCTTTTCTGGAGCCGGGTCGACCCGTCTACCCTCAACCGCCAGGGGAACGACGCCGGTACCCAATACAGGTCCGGGATCTACTACTACAACGAGAATCAGGCCCGTCTGGCTCAGGAATCGAAAGAAGCCAAGCAATCGGAACTGAAAGAAGGGAAGAAGGTCGTGACGGAGATTCTGCCGGCGAAGAGATTCTACCGGGCGGAAGAGTACCATCAACAGTATTTGGAGAAAGGCGGCGGCCGTGGCAACAGGCAATCCGCTGCAAAGGGTTGCAACGATCCCATTCGTTGCTACGGCTGAAAGTAAAAAGCTGCGTCTTTTACCTTTATCCATGGAAGAAGAATAAGAACATTTCCTGGTCTGTGATCTGGAATTGTAAGTTGACTTTTTTTTCTTGTGTTTGATCTTGATTTTCATCAGTAAATGAATGGATATGGACTATATTTCAAGAAGAAAATCGTGGGTTTTCATTAATTCGTATATTGTTATTGTTATTATTCATTACAAGTAGAACTGCTGAGGTTTTAAGTTACTGATACATGAAGTAAGAAGAAGAAGCAAGTGCTGAAACTGAGAATGGAAAAGCTGAAACCAGGATGAGAAATCTCTATCTCTCGCTCCATGTTTTGTGTGGGTGTGTAATAGTGAATTTAGAGTTCATCTCTGAGAGAAGAAGAAGAATGGGGGGTTGGGTTGGAGGAGGTTTTGACGGGATATGAAGCCTCCATTGCTATGCCACAAAGCCCTGTCTTGTCTGAGATGCCTCTCTGCATCCTGATGAAGCCTTTCTCGCCCCATTCAGCGCCCCACGAGTTCTTCACGATCCAGTACTTGGTTCCATCGACGGTGATTCCGTACCCTACAGCTGCAACTCCATGGTTCAGCTCTGTTCCACAGCTTCCAGTGAACACACCCTGCAATTTGGGAAAAGATTCAGGGGTTGTCAGGATTTGAAGAGCTCCGGAGGGTTTTTGTCCAGAGAGAGTCAGAAAGAAAAGACATAGAATGAATGGTTGAATACCTCTGAGTAGAATTGGAAATCTGGGCTCCCAGCATCAATGGCTACAGATACAGGCTGGTTTGCAACGGCTTTCAGCAGTGCATCTTCGTTGTTCTTTGGGACGTTCTCGTGTCCGTCAATCGACACAACTGGTGCATCCTCCTGCAGCAGCAACAACAACACAAGGGAAAGTATAAAGTATAAACCTTTAACCTTCCTTCTGAACTTTGTTTATCAGGATATATATCAGGTTTCAGAATAGGGACCTTAACAGAATCACAGCTACCATCTGCAGCATGGTAAGGATACTTGTCTTCTGTAGTAAGCCCACCGGTTTCCTTGATGAACTCAAATGCGTACTCCATCAACCCTCCATTGCATCCTTGGTTCTCTGTCGTGTCGCAGTCGACCAATTCTTGCTCAGACAAAGACACAAGCTTCTTTGTCTTGATATAGTTGATCCCTTCCACTGCTACCACAGTTGAAAATGCCCAGCAACTACCTGTAACACCAATCAGGAAACCACCAAATTCATTGATCCCCACATCTAGAATTAGACAGAACATGACATTTCACCGAAAAAAGTATTGAACTTCACTGTCTTGATGAACTTCACTTACCACACTGGCCTTGATCCTTAACAGGTGTAACAGCACCTTTCTTCCTCCAATCAACAGACGGCGGCACCCTCCTGACGTTCTCGTACATGAACGTCCCGTTCCCACGCGGTGCTCCCCGGAACATGACGTGGTGGTGGACCTTGGAGTTAGCATAAGCGTTCTTGAACTCGTGGCTCGTCATGTCGGAGAACTTGTTCAGCTTCAGCTTGTAAGGCTTGTCCATCTTGTTGGTCTCGTGAACGTGCATGACATTCTGCTTGAACACATTGAACCGCTTGTGCTTATCGTCGAGGCTCGTGGAGACGGTGTGATGGCTCCTCCACCTCTCGTACAGATCCCACAAGCTCTCCTCGGATGCCAGCTCGTGCTCGTGGTAGTCGAAACAGTTTGCCACGCCGAGGACCAGAGCCAACGACAGAGCAACCAACAGAGATTTCTCGAACCCCATTTTTTCTTCTTCTCGGTGTTTCGTCTTCGAATGTGACTTGGTAAAATTGTATGAGTGAATGTTGTTCTGAGAAACTCCTCCAAGGTTGGAGTTTATATAGGACGACAAATGATCGATGTTAGGGATGGAAGTGTTGAAGAGAGGGGGAGAATCATGAATGAGGAAGTTACAGGTTCCTTATGGGCATCAACAAACTAGAATAATAGAGAATTGGGATGGGAACGAACAATGATAGGATATTGAGAAATGGATATGACAAGCTAAGTCCTTAAATGGGGAAGTTAGGTCTGTGGCTTGTTTGAGATAGGTAGGTTGGTTTCTTCGAGGAAGCTTATGGGAGGGTTTTGGGGCATTATTGTGAAAGGGAAGAACGTCCCTTGTTTTGTCTGTTTTCTGCCCACCCATCCCTTCAGTTTACAGGCAGAGCACGCTATGTGCTGCTAACTGCCCAGGCATTATCAACTGTTAAAAAACAGAAAAGGTGACGAGAAGCCTAAGGTAGTGGTGGGATTTATGCCTTTGAGCAAAGGTACTTTCTGGCAAGTGGAGGGGAAGATCGTTAGGCACTGACTAAAGTCAGGTTGTGGGTTCTGTAACTGGTTTGATCGCCTTTAACTGAAACTAGCTCATGCTCATTAATGAAATTGAACTTCTTACTATCTGGAATCTAAGAATCAGGATTTTAAGAGCTACAATCTTTTGAGCAGGCAAGGCGGTATTGTTTCTTTTCGTCATAATCGATCCGAACTGGAGTTAGTATCATTCGAATTCGTATTCTGTTTCTGCTGTAAGTGATCAAGTTGATCTAGTGTAACCGAGGCGAAAGAATGTAATTTTTACCACCCTGTAGAATGAGAGAACGTAGGATGTGGGAAAGTACATCGATTGATCACAACTTCACATGAAAGTGCCAACCCTTTTTTCCCTTATCTTTTGGGGGTTATTTTAAGGTGAGTAAAGCTAAGAAATCTGATCGAATCCGAACCCGCACCAATGGAACAGTGGCTTTCAACCAGGTTTGCTTGCTTCCGCAATCCAATTTCAATCTTGGTTGTGAAGCTTTAGCCTCAATTCTTGCAATTTGTTAGCCGTCCAATGAGCTAGCTGTTCTTCCTAAGGATGGGCAATGAGTCACTGCAGTAGCAGTCAAATGTTTGCTTGCTGGAGTTGGATAGCGTAAATAGCTGCTGAGTTGAAATGGTTCCTGATCCGCGGTGGCAGCTGATTATGAAAAGTGGGAACTAGGATTTGGTGCAAATAGCTTAGCGTGACTTAATGAACTTGAGATAAACGCTAATCATTGTGTTAATCAGTGCCGACAACAATAATGTGAATGAATTCCAATTCCCATTCCTTTGCTTTAACCAGTTGCATGAGAGTCCAAGCGACGTCTATGGTTGGTCCAAGCAGAGAAATTTTTTGTGCCATCTTACAAGCAACATTATTGATTGATTCAGTAGTGTGTTGTTGGTTTGGTTGCTTACTTTGCCTGTCTTTGATTGCTGTCTGATAGAATGTAGAAAAATGGTGCTGCTTTTTCATTGTGAATGTGAAGGTAATGCAAGAAAGAATGAGGTGTCAGTGATGAATGGGGGTTTGGGACTTTGGGCAGCAAATTCCTGAATCTCAGACTCTAAAACACGAATACATCTCTATTCAGGTTCCTTAAATGACACTATGAAGCAATTGATTCTAAAATGAGCATTTCGTATTATTATCAGGGTATCCACCACCGACACCTCGAATAATATCCCTAACCATGGGCAATACACCTGCTACATCACAAGTAAAGACTACAATAAGGTAAATGATTGCTTAGTACATAAAAATCCTCCGTTGTTACTCAATATTTTCTTGATACAGCATCCATCAAATTCACAAAGTTTGCTGAATGTCTAAAAACCGCGCAGATATTTGGCAACCCAATTATTTTTCACTGAACACTACGGGAGAAGCATCAAATAATTCCATGGTATTGGTACCTTGGAGGATACGAGAGCTAGGCGATTAGGGGCTGGACAAGTGACTCAAGCAAGAGTGTCCTTTTCTTTAGCTTGCTGAAGCAGCTCTGCTCTAACCCTTTTGATCTCCATTTCCTTTTCAAGCCTTTCTTGCTGAAACAATCAAGGGAGAGACCCAAGTTACTGATAAATCTTCTGCTCATAAAGATCGCAAAAGTTTGAGGATAATATGCTTGGACATCGTACAAAAAGCCATGCAGAAGTGAAAGATGAGGGTGACGTTCAAATACAGTTTCAAACTAATAGAACATGGAAAGCACAAGATGGGTGAGGTTCAAATCTAAGATTGGTGCAGAAGAACCATATTCCAAAACACTTGGTTCTTCCTGCATATTCCTTTAAGGCTTTGTAGCATTAATTCCTAGATTTACAATGAGAAAAAGGCCCTTCTTGTGCTCATGGAAATTGCTAATTGTGGTGCAGAACCACCATATCCCAAAACAATTCCTTCAGCATGCTCCCTAAGGCTTTGTGGTATTGGTTCCCATCTTAAGCACCACTTTTTATTATCATGGTAAGTACGTATCAAGAGCATCCAGAACTCTTTGTGATTTCAGCTCAAGCAAGTGGTAATTTTGACAAAATCAAACATTTCAAGAACCCGACGATTACAAGTATCACACATCCCAGCTCATCCTTGTCAATGAACTACAAGCATACATTAGGCAGCTCCATCTTCTTCTGCCATAAACAATAAAGAGTATAGTAGTAGAATGAAGATGCATGACTGAAATTCACCCATCTATCAACAACCTTTCCCAATCGGAATCTAATAGCCAATTCACTGGACGTGAATGTCCCATACCATCAATTTAATATGCACCAACATAAAAGGAAATCAAATTTAACAAAAGAGACTTTGGAATGACTCCTGAATGTAGATAACCCCTCAATCTTCGAATCTGATTCAAGGTTTCAGCAACAGCTTGCATGCAAACAGGTAATCGTAGTTCAAGAAAAACTAGCAGCAATGCATATGACCGACTCAACCAGCAGCCTTTTCACAGTTAAAATACGAGCAGCATTTTCTCAATCTGAATTGAATCATCAGGACTCTCAGAGTATTAAAAGAAAACACAATAACTCCCATTTTATTTGCACTGAAATCACGCGATCAAATTGTTTGAAAAATAGATATTGGGGAATGTAGTGCTTCTTACTCAAATCAACTCAAGGGTTTCAGCAACAGCTTGCACGCTTGACGGTAATCAAAGTTAAACCCAAACGAACTCTATCGCAGTTAAATTGCACTGGTTCCAACTATAAGCAAGGAAACAGTAATGCAATGCAAGACCAACCCCAGCATTGTAAACCAAGCCCAAAAAGCTCTCATCTTTTACTCTACATTTGCCTCTAACATTGGATTTCCAGCTACCCAAACTCGTGAGGCTCAAACTTCCTCTACACTGCTAGCGTCCGGTTCCGGGTCCCACTTAAAACTGCTCTATCCTAGGTTAACTACAGATCCTACATTCACTGGCCCGAAGCGAAGATGATGAAACTCAAACGAAAATTCAAACCATTTCAATTAGAGAAACGGAGGCGCTAAATTGAGGCATCATTCAGAAAAATCAAGCATTCAGATAAACCAAAATCCGATGATGAAAATGAGAACGTTGCAGAAATTCTTCGGGCGGGTGATCGATTACCTTCTCATCCTGGTGAAGAGCGATCCAGACGTGAAGCTTATCCATCGATTGCCAAAAGGCGAACGCACCCAATGACATCAAGAAGTAGGTCGAGACCTTCACCATCTTCGCCTTCCTCTTCTTCTTCTACACCTCCTTTGGGGAAAATGCCTTTGTGTTCGAGATTCGCTAGTCAGAAGACTCGGGAAACATCGCGGTGATTAACCAGAAAGAAGGAAGAACTGTAATCCAAGTACCTGGGCCTGGATCTCACATTTGGGCTGCCATTTCTTAAGCCTGTTTCATAATTATAGACTATAGAGGCGTACAAGAATTCCACAAGCCCATAACTTTTGAAAGCAGGGAGCCCATTAGAGTCTGTGAAGGCAACTCGCAAGGTGATGGCCGTTAATGATATGAGCCGCACTATGTCATCGTTCGAGCTCGCCTCGTTAAAATAATTTCAAGTTCGAACTCGACACGAGCTTGACACGAGCTTTGATAGGCAAGTTCAAATTTGTCGCGTTTACAAAACAAGCTTGAGCTCGAGTCGCCAAATGAGATTAACGAGCAAAAATTGAGTTGGGCTGATAAAAATGTAGCTAGTAGCTCAACTTCGAGTTTGAACTCAACTCACAAGACACCAACATCAAACACTTAAAGGCTATCAGGTTTGTTCTCAAGCCTATCAAGCTTACATGTCATGGCTCGATCTCTGCTCATTTACGACAAGACGACTTTGATCGCGAGCCGGCTCAGATAAAGACGAGTCGAGTATAGAACGAATTTTTCTTAAATCGAACGTCATGTCATTGACTTGGTTAATTAACAGCCCTATATATAATTTATATACATGCTCTTGAACCAAATGAATCGAATACACCATTTCTTTCGGCAATATGCAATCAACCAACATGGCCTCTTTACACCACCACCATCGACCTCACAAGACATTGTGCAACTGAAACAAATCCCCTGCCAGGCTACCACAGAACCCACCAAAGGGTAAGTTCCCACTTTTTTCACTCATCCCGCAACAATACCAGAAAGTAACTAACATATAATTGTTATTTACATATCCAATAGTTCCAAGTTTCCAGCATCATTTCCAAATACAAACAATCCCGCTCTTGTGCGCAGATGCCAACGGTTTCCCTAGCCCGCTCCACGAACAGCACAACACCGCAGTCGTATCTTCCTTCAGAGTGCCGACTATATCACCTTTCAACACCGACCAAATGTACACTGACCCGTCGGCCGAGCCAGCAGCGACATACTTATCATCGGGACTGAGACACGACCTGCTCCAATTCGTCGCCACCCTGTTCCCACTCGCTCTCAGCGTGCCACAAACTTCGAGAGACCGGATGTCAAAGATGTTGTGCTGATTATCCCTCCCACTTGACAGTATCGTGTTCCCATTCCTCGACAACGATAACGACGTGATAGCACTAGAATGAGCCGCGACTTCACTCAGCAGCCTTCCAGACTGGATATCCCAAAGCCGGAGGTTCCCATCCACGTGACCCGAACAAATCGTCTGCCCATCGGTGCTGAAACACAAGGCATTGCAGTTGCTGTGGAACATGATGGTGTTTGTGCAGTAACCTTTCTGCAGGTCCCACAGTTTGATGGTCCGGTCATATGCCGAGCTGACAACATAACGACTGGAAACTTTGCTGACATCCACTGCGCATACTTTGTCCACATGGCCTGTTAAAGTGTGGAGCTGGCGACCCGAGTTTACGTCCCAAACGAAGAGTTTGTTGGAGCTGCTTGCGGCGATCACAGATTTATTGTCGTGTGTGATGGAGAGATCGAGAACTGAGCCTAGGCAGCCGTTGAGAGTGCGGCTGAGAGCGCCAGTGTTGGTGTCCCAAATCTTGATTGACTTGTCGTGTCCGCCAGTGATCAGTTTGCCCGAATTGTACTCGAATAAGATAGAGCCACAGCCATCGTTGTGAGCCGTGATCTTGTGTGTGCATGAAGAAGGAATGCTTGATTCGACAAAGTACTCGGCCCCGTCCTCACTACGGCGGACCACTCCGTCTACCTGCTGCCGAGCTAGTTTTTCTAGGCCGCTTGCCTTCAGTCGATCAGCCATTTCTTCATAAAGTGAATTCACCTGATTCACATAACCAAATAAATAGACTTATTTCAGGCCAGAAAATAATGAAGCTTTAGCATGTGATATAGGAAGAAGCGGACACAGCCGCCAGGTCTGCTAACGTTACCAGCAAGCCTCGATCCCTCAACTTCAGTAAATACTGATTTGGTTAAAGATGTTACCTCATTCAAGCGCTCAGCATCCTGCATCTTTTGCAGCATCCAGCGATCGACCAACATTTTGTTCTCTGCCTCTGCATTATTAGCCTTAGTAGTCATCTCCTCCAATTGCTTTCTCAGCTCCTGATTCTCACCAACTATTAGTTCCAATCCTTTGAGCTTCTCTTCCAAATCTTCCTTTAGTTGGGAGCATTCATCCCTACAAAGACCACAAGTCAATAAAACCAAACATTTAACCATGGAAGAGCTTGGAGAAAGCATTTAAGAGAAAGAACCTTATTTGAGTCAATTCCTTCTGTAGATCACCAATAGTGGCTTCTTTCTCCTGAAGTGAAGCTTTTGCTGCTCTGGCCTCTGCTACTTCAACCACTAGCTGCTCAGACAATCTAGATTGAGCTTTGTAGCATTGCTGAAGTTCAACTTCCAAGTTTTCTGCTTTCTCTTTCCATTCTGAGCCCTGAAGAAACCACATGAGACCCATGACTAAAGCTAATTACAATACCAAGTAACAGCAACAAGCCAGTGATGAGGCAACCACAAGCTAACACATTCAAGCATCATACCCTAAAACAAGGTCTAAAAAACCCCGTAAAATGTTGTTTATCTCATCACAAGGTAAAGACCTAGAAAGTTACATTTTGTTTTTCAGCTAACTACACCAGTGTTCACATGAGTAAATTGAAAATCACAAACCATAAGTAACCCAATTGACTCAAAATTAACGATGCCAAAGGATCTCAATTTGTAGTTCACGCAAACCCATCTCTGAAACCCGACATTTCTATGTCAAATTCATTGTTCCAAATGCACAATGAACATGAGATGGGCAGAGCTAATTACGATGCCAAGTAACAGCAACAAGCCAGTGTCGAGGTTTAACAGCATACCCTAAACCAAGCTAACACATTCAAGCATAATACCCTAAACCAAGGTTTAACAGAAGATCCCCTAAAATGTTGTTCATCTCATCACAAGGCTAAGCACCTAGAAAGTTACAGTTTGTTTTGCAGCTAACTACACCAGTTTCCACATGTCTAAATCGAAAATCACAAACTATAAATTGCCCAGTTGACGCAAACTTAATGACGCCAAAGAAGCTCGATTTGCACTTCACTCAACCCTATCTCTGAAACTCCACATTTCAATGTCAAATTCGTTGTTGCAAATGCACATTGAACATGAGAGGGGGCAGAGATAAAGAGTAAAGACCTGGGAGATAATGGGCCTGGAAAGAGCAACAAAAGCAGGAGAATGTGCGCCTTCTTCCATCAAATGGCGCTTCCTAAGAGCCTTCATGGCGTGCTTGATGGCTTCCCTCGCAATCTCCTCCTGCGACCTGAAACAGCCACCACCCATCAAAATCAGTAACAATTCCGCAGCTTTAAGCTTCCATCCACACACTCAAAAGGAGAATTTGGGAGTCGCGATCAGCTCAGCTCAGCTTAATCGGATAGAACGATTTGTTTGGTGAATAACGATTCAGGTCTTGATCTTTCTCCACTGAAGGAGAGTAAAGGGAGCTGTGGGATCTGATTCCCGACTTACATTGTAACTGAATCGAATTGGCTCAGGATTTCTTGTTAGGGTTTTGCGAAGAGACGAGGTTGGCACTTGGGGAAGGAACGAGGGAAGAAGGTATAGCCGTATAGGGAAGGAAGATCCCGCACCTGCGGGCATTTGACATTTCTTCTCCGTTGGGTTAATTCCGATTACGTCCTCGGTTCAGTAACTTTTTACATGTTGATCACATTAAAATCTAACGTTTGATCCTTGGTTCAGTAACATTCTACATTTTGGTCACTCGAAAATTTTAAGTGTGGCCATAATTATGGATCCCAATTCTTACCCCAGTATTTTTTTTTTTTTTTTGTGGTAACAAGCTATGTAATTATTTATTTCATTATAAAGAAACATTCATATTTATTTCGTTCTGCTAAAAAAAAAAACTTGAAAATTTCAAGTGTGTCCACACTTTAACATTTATATTGAATGTTATTGTCTTATTTGTCTTATCAAGTTCTATTTGTGCTCTAAAATAACACAAGAATGTCTTAATTAATTAGTTCTCATGACAATTGAAATTGATATCTTATATAGTACAATTTTTTTATTTCAAACAATGGTAGAAAAATAGGAATTTTTTCGGAAATAGCACTATTTAAAAAAGAAAATAGCACCCAACTCGAAAAAAATCCAAAAATAGCACCATTTTCCAAAAATCGCCACCCGAACCAGCAGTTTAGGCGAAAACCCCCATCCGGGGACGCGTTTTTCGATGAAAACCGCATGGGCCGTCCGGTTTGGTTGCAAACCGCACCCCACCATGCGGTTTGGTAGTTATAGTTTATAGGTTCACGAGTTTAGTAGCCCATACCAAGACAAGGGAGACTGATAGTTTATAGGTTCACGAGTTCGTGTTTCGTCTTATGTTAGTATGGGTCAAATCAAGTTTGAGTAATTTTGCTTTTTGGGCAAATTCATACTCAACTTTTTAGTTTAAGTCTAAATTGGACCATAATATTGAGACCCAAAGAATGTTATTTTTTATTATTATTATTATTATTATTATTTTGTTAAGAAACAAATAAAAAGGTGGAAACACCCACATTAGATTACTTATTATGTTAAAGGCAATTAATAAGATGATTGAGACTATTTTTTTGTGTACAATCATTTGAACTTAAATAGATCTATTTGTGTCATGATTAGACCCAGTCACTCAGATAAATCGATATGAGTCCATCTGGATCTAATTCAATATCTATATGAATCACGATAATTGACTCAAATTATCCAAAGAGTTTACCAATTCTCGTTCCTACATCCATTGGCATCGATTAGGCTCTTGGTCTTTGTAGACCTGAAACGAGTGGGGTGCGAGTACTAGCTAGTTGCTCAGCACAACTGTACAAGACTACAAGTATGATACTCCAAGAGCAGCAGCTTCTCTCCACTTCATTATCCAGCTGCAAAACAAGAACTGGAAGAACATAAGAACATGTAAGAGGCGAGAGAACGTTGTCATTCCTTTTTACCAATCCCAAACTCCCAATTATCAATTACAACAGATCCCAGACCAACATGAATCAAACTTTACAAATCCTCATCACATTCCAACAATCACCACACCACACAGCCGGACACCCTTGTTTAAGTTAAGAAAAAGGAAAGAAGAAGAAGAAAAAAATGCCCCAAATCCTCTTTCTTGTTATATCGTTTCTTCAAGTTTCTTTCAGATTAGATGTCACCTTTCCCCCCAGAAACAGATCCTGAACAAATTTTACATGCGAGGACGACAACATCACACCGCGTTTTGTTTAACCCCCCCAACAGATTATCCAACTCTGATTCTATCCAACCAATCGACGCTTTTCCTTCCCTTCTCCAGCTGATGATCAATGCTCATTCTCGGTTTTTCATAGTACTCCACGCTTCTCCTTGATCGTTCCAACTGTTCGAACGGGAGCTTAAACTTGCTGTCCAACTTCTCAATCTTGGTAAACTTGTACTCATGGAATTTCAATTTCTCGGGCCGGTCTGTGCTTTTCCTGGGTTTCTCCCTCCTATCTGTACTCTTCCTTGACACGTCGTAGCGATCTGTACTCTTCCTGGCTTGTTCCATCCCATCGACGCTCTTCCTGGCACTGCTTCTTCGGGAAGGTGATTTCTCAACTGATATGATGAACTTCTTTAGGTGTCTGAGGTATTCTGGAAACAACTCCAGGTCACAGTGATTTCCTCCCTTCAGCCATAACGGTTCGTATTTCTCCTTGCAGAGTTCCCAAAGCTGCTTCCCGTGAGAAAAATCAACCACTTCATCTGAAGTTCCCTGTAAGGAAGAAATATAAAAAAGTAGATAATCAGGACCAACACTCAGGAAATGTGTTCGATCATTATCAGAGCGAAAACAAGAACAACGAAACTGAGCTAAAATTATCAGAACTATTGTCAGCCAGCCCCACCTTCCAAGCTTTCTTGTACCTGGTTTTGATTATTATAATTCCTGGTCAGTTACTAGACCTATTCATTCTGAGAAACCTTTGTAGGAACTCTTCTTGCACCATACCTTATTACTACATCAATCAATACATGCCATCATTACTGAACCAATCCATTAACTTTTGATTTTCGTTCAAGATATTGCCATTTGCAACTTTCAATATCACTTCACTCTCCTTTAACAAAATTTCCTAAAGAGGCCCTATCTTCCAGATTAGGGGCTAAGGGATATTACGCTCTTCTGAACATCTTTCTTTGGAAGCTTGAATGACAATACACAATAACTAAAATCCCCTAATAACTTTCGGAAAATGTTGGAATTTCATGACGTAACATGTGATGATTCGTTTGGATACTTACAAGGACGAGTACAGAAAAAAAAATCCACGGACTTACATGAATTACTAGCACAGGGCACTTCACCAGCGGGATTTTGTCAATATTCTGTACAACATCCAAGTAAAATGTATAAGTTATAGAGGTGCAAATCCTCTCCACAGAGAATAATATTGAAAATATTGAACAAGCAGATCAAGCAAAAGACATGTCTGACCTTATAGATATCAAACCAATAGGACCGTTTCACAGGATACATGACCCTTAAACCTGACAGTATAGGACTGTGCAGGACAACAGCTCTCAGTCGAGGTAGACGTGCAGCAAGATCAAGGGTAGGGCCACTCCCAACAGATTGACCATAAAGAATGATGTTTTCCTGCCTGGCTCCATAGTTTTCTTCAAGACACTTGTAAGCAGCTTCAATATCAGCATAGGTACTATGCTCACTGGGCTGCAGAAAGCCACAGCAAGAATGGCAAATGTTATTATTTAGTTACACAGATCTTTTACCACCAAAGAGACGTATAAAAATAGTGCTTACCTTTCCCGTTGACTGTCCATAGCCAGAGTAGTCATACCTGAATAAGTAAGATAAACAAGAACCAGGATCAGCTACATTTTCTAGGTCAATACTTATAGACTACAGAAACCCAAAAAGTTGCAGTAAGCATTTGGCTGGTTAGTGACTTGTCAGACATAGTCCTCTCCATTCAGTCCCCTGTCACTCACAATCAGTATGCTGTATTCCAACAAGCCACAAGGAGAAGCATTCCTCAAAAACAAAAGGGGTGATATTATATATACTCATTCATCGAACTCTATCCATTGATGTTCAATAATGGTTTGAGAGATGTTGCTTTGAATGTTCATCAAGCTTCCTTCACATGGCTAAGGTAAATAGATAATCCATTTCTGCAGAGAATATACAACCAAGCTAGTCTGGCACCGAACCCCACACATATAATTTTGCAATCAATAGCAAGCCAGAATCTTTTTAACTACAATTATTAATTCCTAATTGCAATCCGTTTAATTACAAATGATACACTGATTTACCATTCGTCAGTACAATTAAAGATATGACCTTCCAACTGAAGTTTTCTATTTCTGTCCATTGACAATGCAAAAATAAACCAAAACCAAATATGGAAAATCAATGAGGTAACACATCTGTTGACCTTTGTACACTTAGCAATACAGATTCAGAGCAAGTATGCTCGATTGAAGTTAACCCCGCCAGCCTCAACAAAAAACCAAATCATAAAACAGTGAATTTCCCCCATCACCATCTCTCACAAAGCACACCGACAATCACAAGCAAGCAAAGGGGATAGCATTCCTTCCTACACTAGCGTTGCAAGATAGAGAAGGGATCTCGTTACCCAGTTTCCAAGTATTTACTCTGATCGAACCCACTAATTTCACAAGCTAAAAAAAAAATACGAGTGCCCCAATCCAATGTCGACCTAACTCAGGCGATGCCCACTCGAGCAAACAAAGGGACATGGTTTGATGAATTCAATCAGCAGCCAACCACAAACTGAAGTAGTCCTCAACTCACAGGCAGGCATACACGAGGTAAAAGAAAAGGGGGAAAACACATACAATGCTTCTCGAATTGAGTTTCTGATTCACCATCATCCTAAAACTGAGCGAAAGATCCAGGGCCAAAAAAAAATTTGGGAAGGAAAAATAGGGGTGAGCGAGAGTTAGTGAGTTTACCCCATGAGATTAACGCGCAAGTGGATGCTCAGCTCAATGAAGAGCTCGTACATCTGGCCGATATCAGCTGCATTCCCATGGGAGTAGAGCAGAGTGGAGGTGGCCATGGGGTACCTAACATAGACGGCGACGATCTCATTCCCGCGGCGGGTAGGGAGGCGGAGGACGTCGACGTTCTCGCGGTGGGGGAAGTGGTCGACGAGGAGAAGGCCGGTGGCGCCGTCGGTGATTAGCTTGTAGGAAGGTGGGCTGGGAGGGAAGAAGGCGAATTTGGCAGCCATGGATGATGTCACCCCTCCCATTTCCGCTCCTCGATAATAGCAGCCTCTCTACTCTTTCCTAGTTAGTGTGGTTTCTCCCGAAGCTCCTTTTTTTTGTATCAGAAACAGAGAATCGTTGGGGGGATGGAGAAGAAGAAGAAGGAGCTGTAGAAGCTCATTTGATTTCCCATTCTGCCTTTTCTCTCGTTTCTTTCTGGGTTTTTTTCTTTTTTCTTTTTAAGTTTCGGGTTTTCTTTTTGGTTTTTTTAGGCTCGAGAGCGCGTGTGAGAGAGAGAGATGATAGGGTAAAGTGGAGTGTTGGAAAGAATATATGTTTATGAGAAGATTAGTTGTACATGTGATGTGACTACTTAAGTAGGATTAGTTAGTTTAATTAGTGTTAAGTAGGAATCTAGTGTAAATTATCCTAGAGGTCACCGATTTTTCTATTTGGTTCACGTTGGAAGTGTTTGGAAAGAAATGTATCATCTATTGAAATTCGAGGAAGACGGTTAAACCAGTTTATATGGTTACGTTGGTATTTGGTTCGATATAGACCAAAATGTTGCACACCCTTATCAATTTTAACAATATATGTAAGGAAAGTTGGAAACTATTAATGTCAAATGAATAACTCGTATATATATATATATAATCGATCTCAAGTAGCCATCCAATGACAGGAGAGAAATAAATTGAAAAAAGGATAGGATATGGTGAGGAAAATACGACTCTAGTTATTGGACCCCTGTTCTACAGCAGATCACTGTCAGCCAAGAGAAAAAAGTGGGGCACGGCGACGTGGTTGGAAGAGGATGCTCAAACTAACGGTTGATTTCATCATGATGTTCACAACAACACCATAGGGGCATTGATAAGGGATAAGGGTCAAGGCGCCTCGCAAACATAGACACACTAGGTCCATTCAGAAGAAGAGGCAAATAGAAGAACCTCCAAGAGGGGGAGAGGTACACTAGGACGTGGTTAGACGAGGAGACACAAACTAAAGGTTTGACGTCGTCATGATGCTCAAGCAAGGTAATACCGAAAACCTGTGTAAAGCCCACAAGTAAAAGCCCGTGAGGAAATCAAAATCAAGAGAGAAATACTAAAAGCTTACATCACCATTGGGAGGAGTTGGGAGGACAAAACTAAGTGTCAGACACCTTCTAACGGAAAGTATCATGAAGAGCGACATTAAAAGTCAGGTGCCCGACTACAGCATTAAAGGCTTGCCAGATGTCTGTCCCATGTACTCACCTCCAATTTGTATAAATAGAAATGATCTCATAAAAAATGAGCAAGCATTATATATATTGACCTTCCAACATGTGAAGCACTTGTTAATGGATCGAGTGATCTCTCAAATATTTTGGACCGAATCAACCTTCCAACAAATAAGACTCCAACCGTCGTCACCGCATAAATTTTTTTCAAACTCAAATATACTCCATTTTCTCTCGAAACCAACATCGAAATAAGAAAGCTTCATCATCTCTATTCTTCCACACTTGACTTGATTTATTCATCACTCATATCACACAAGACCCACAGAGAGATAAAAGTGAAAGCAAAAACAAAAACAGAGAAGAACATCCAGTCGGACAGAAACGTCTCAAACTCAACCGGTCGAACAGCGATCCGGCTTCCCCGCGGTTACCGTTTTGCATGACTGTCCATCCCACAGACGTTTCGCATCTTGACCCCGAAACGTTTCCTCCACGTACGCCTCGACTTTGCTCTCGTGTTTCAACACGTGGCACAGGGCTTGGAGGTACCACCGGGGAAGCTTGCCGGTTAGTTTGACGGTGTCCACGACAACACGTCCTTTGTCTTTACAGATAACCGACCGAGAGATCACCCCGCCGTTATTACTCGACGGCGGCGGAGATAGCGCGAAGGCTCGCCGGAGACAATCCTCGTAGCAGAAGTGACCACCGTCTCTTTTCCCGTGGCCGGTGGCAGAGGAGGTGGCGGACAGAAGTGGGAGTACGGCAATGAGGGCGAAGAAAATGGTGAAGAAGCATGAGAAATTGTTAGGAAGAGCCATTTTTTTGATGAGATAAGTGGAGATGCTTTGGCTATAGCATTTATATTATATACCCGTTCAATTTGCGGTCAGGTTTGCGCTTCTTCTCCTCTGCTTTTATCTTATCCCATTTTCGTCTGTTTTGCTGCAGGAGTTTCGCATTGATGGTGTAACTTCTTTAGCGTTATTGATAGTGCAGTAGGGTGGTGGAGATAGCTAGGTACGTTACCTCCTCAGTCTAAAAAAAAACACAAATGTGAGTGTTGAAAAGCTTGGGCTCTCTTCTTCCACTCTGCTGCGGATTTTCAATAATGCCATGGCGGGAAAGTTAAGTAATCGGTCGCAAAATTGATTTTTCGGTAGACCTGTAGGAGATTGTTCAGCTGTTTGCGATCAATTGAAGCACGAAGTTCGTTCAACAACTGTGTTTTAAGAGTCTTGAGGTGTGTTGCAGGTTGCTGAGACTCTTGCTTTTCGCCATATCTATGTCAATGTAAACCCAATTGATGCAAACTGACAAAGTTTATTGAATGAGAAAAAAACAGCTTAAATACAAAGTTTTGGCTAAATAAATACCCCTCACCAATCTCGGCCCTCTACACTCACCTTCCTAAAACTCTGCAGCTTACTAACAGAACATTCCTGAAATTTTGCAACCCACTAACTGAACCCCTAACTTGCTGTTGACAAAGTAAGCTAACCTATCTTGACACATAAGCAGCTCTAACACTTTAAACGACTAACTCACTACAAACTAACATTTTAACTTGTCTAACATAGCCTCCCCTAAACTGAAGCCGATGCAAACCTTCAGTTTACTTCTCAGAAGACAATTTCTGCAGCAGAAACTTCGGTATATGAGAAGCAGCAGCAACTTCCCAGTAACTTCAAACAGTAAAAGCTTATCTCTCAACCCAAAACAATTAAGGGTCTGCAGCACAAGAAAGTCACTATTGAAACTGAATTTCACTGCCTGTCGATAGTCATAGCCATGACTTGCACTCTGGCCAGCTCCCCATGAGCGCAATACACAGTAGTCCAATTTCGAAATCCCTTCATTCCCCATCCAACTTGCCTCTGTTATGAACTTGTAACTTTCCTTCTGCACAAGCAGATTCTTGACCAACAACTCATGGTGCAATTTAGCTTGATGGATCTTCTCAGCTTTTACCAACGGGAAAACCCATTCATCATAACCTGTCAATTTTAATCTAGGCTTTGCATCATCTACCTTTCTAAAGTTTGCAGTAGCATCCTTAGTTGTGCAGTGATTAAAGGAAACATCCACCAATAAGGCCAAGGCATACACATAATGATTTAGACCATTAGCCATGTTGATTGTGTCCTTCCTTTCCTTTCTACAATCCCACAATAGAGTAGAATCATATTTAACTTCATGGTCTTGCTCACTTCTTTCCCAAACCAATTGTTCCGGAAACTTGCTCAACCATATGGTGTTGTGAAAACGATGAGTTACGGTTGTTATCTTTGCATCTTTGGTACACAAAGTCAGCAAAATCAGTGCTGATCGTTCCTTTGTTTCCCAACAATCAGCACCTTCACTTGTGTGATCACCATATATGATTCCTAGCAAACGCTCCTTTTCTGCCTGACATATGACCACTTCCTCATAGATATGAATGAGTTCAAATCCTACCTGATCTTCAACACCCAACCAGTACCTTTTTTCCTCCAACAAGTACCTCATTGCCTCAGAATTCGTCATTTCGAATGCTACTTTCACGCCATTGTTGAATTCAGTTTTGAATTCCTCAATCATAGTCATACTATTCCTGATCTTCATCAGATGAAAAACAGCTGTAATGCAAGTGGTAAATCTGATGAAACCTGCTGCAAATTTGTTATAATCAGCTGCAACGTCAGTTGTAAAACTGACCAAACCTGCTCCAGTTAAGCGTCTCTTAGCACTTGATGATTTAAAACCAACCAAACCCGCTGTGAAAACAGCTTCTAAGGTCTTCAAACAAACTGCATAATCATCTTTAGCTGGTGCAAACTCAATTCTTGAAGCTAAGGAATTCCAAACATACTTGCTACAAATGAGTTCAAACCAGTCAATAAATTTCTTTGCATGCTTCTTTTCCTCCCCTGCAACCACAAACTCTTTTGGTTGCAATTTCACTATCTCTGCACACCTTAGAGGATTATCAGCATCTGAAAACACACCACTCTCATGCACTTCTCTTACTGTTGTTGTTGTTTTATTGACTCCTATCCCTTTAGCTACTAGAGGACGGTGAATGAGCTGCCATGTATCGATCTTCTCAAAGGACTGCAGCTCAAGCTCAATAGCTTGCATCCATCTTTCTCCATTTTCTATTTCCATAGAACACTGAGGTTCTTCTTCTTTGACCGTCAGACAATAGGAGTCAAACACGTTATCTATTATGGAATCTTCTTGATAATCTGGCCATCTCCTTGGTCTTGACTTCAAACCTCCCTGTTTATCAGTGATACTGGTGGTGTGATCACACCATTGACACTCCCCACTACTAGTGAAATGAACTGGGGTCACAGATGCATTTGTTTCAATTGTTGTGGGAACTGCTGAATTTTTTGGAACATCATCTGCTACTTCAGCTTTTCCATCTAAGTTACCCATTACATCCTTACAACCTGGCAAAAGCAATTTAGTCAATGGAGTGACTTTTAAATCTTGGGACCAGCCATACTCCTTATCACATCTATCTCTTTTAAATTCCACATTCTTGCTCCAATAAGTATAAACGCTTGAGGCTTCAAATTCTGCAGAAGTAGAGGCAACTGTTTGGTGCAATGACTTGAATTCTTGTACTGAGTCTTGCTTCTGTTGTTTGACCACGCTCAACTCCAGGGCTGATTCTTCAAGTTTAGTTGCTTGTAAGCTTTGTTCACCATCCTCTACAACTGTACTAGCTGAATCTGAGTGCAGAACAAACATGCCATTTCTTTTCCTTTGTGTTTGAAACAAAAGACCCTTTTTATCATGGAATATTTTGCAGATTCCATGATGAGTACGAAAGAGCAATCCCTTATCTTGCATCTTTCCAATACTCAGCAAATTTTCTCTTAACCCTGGTACGTAGAATACTTCATGGATAACTACAGACTTTTGTTCAAGTTTCAGTCTAACAATTCCCTTCCCAACCACCTGCAACTTAATTCCATTTCCTAATTTCACAGTGCAAGAAAAAGAGTAATCAATACTTGTGAACCAATTCAAGTTACCAGTCATGTGATTTCTGCAATCCGACTTCAGAAACCATGAAGTTTCTGTTTCCTCATTTGATGGAATATCCTGAGATGCCAAAGATGCAGCCTGTACTCCTGTCTCTTTCATTGGTTCCACATAAGCCATTAGCACCATATGTTCGGCCATATGTCCATAACCAGCAGAAGAATAGCAGGACATTTGCGTCCAATTTAAGCATTCAAAACTGAAATGACCCGTCATATGACAATTAAAGCACTCAATTGTTTCTCGATTCCATCCTCTTCCAACTCTGCCTCGACCCCTATCTCTATATCCAAGTAGTCTCCGACCGTGGCCACCATAATCATGAGTAGATTTAAAGGCTTGATCTTCCTCAACAAGCTTCTTGTAAAACTTCTGCTCATGCACTAATAGAGAGCTTTGGAGAGCATCCACCGAAAGAGTGTCAATGTCTTTTGACTCTTCTATAGAACAAACAATATAATTGAACTTCTCTGTTAACGTCCGGAGAATTTTTTCAACGATCTTCACATCAGAGACAATCTCTCCACAGTTCCTCATAGCATTGGCCACCACCATTACTCGCCCAAAGTAATCGTTCACAGATTCACCATCCTTCATCTCCAACACTTCGAAGTCCCTTCTAAGAGTCTGCAATCGAGCTCGCTGAACTCTAATACTCCCTTGAAACTTGAGTTTCATGGAATCCCATAGATCTTTTGCTGTGGACTTCTTGGCTATGGTGACCAAAATCGTTTTATCAATTGAACTAAACAAGTAGTTTTTAGCTTTAAGATCTTTCAAAACCTCACACTGAACTGCAGAAAGTTCAGCACCAGCCACTGACTCTTTGATTCCATCAGCTACAACACTCCAATAGTCCTCTGAACGCAATAAGTTTTCCATTAGCATAGCCCAATGATCATAATCTCCTTCAAATTTGGGTATGGGGATTTGGACAAAACTATTCTCACACATGATTTCACTCTTCTACAACCCAATGCAAGCAATTTGATTTCACCTCTCTCTTTTTCTCTCTCGTGTTTCTCTCACCCAACGAAAAACAAATATCTCCAATGCTCTCTTGCTACCCGAATCCAAAGAATAACACTCTTAAAACACAGTTATCAATCACACACACTGTCTAAGAAACTCTCTGTGATAAACTCGGTTACAGTTCACTTGGGCTCTGATACCACAATGTAAACCCAATTGATGCAAACTGACAAAGTTTATTGAATGAGAAAAAAACAGCTTAAATACAAAGTTTTGGCTAAATAAATACCCCTCACCAATCTCGGCCCTCTACACTCACCTTCCTAAAACTCTGCAGCTTACTAACAGAACATTCCTGAAATTTTGCAACCCACTAACTGAACCCCTAACTTGCTGTTGACAAAGTAAGCTAACCTATCTTGACACATAAGCAGCTCTAACACTTTAAACGACTAACTCACTACAAACTAACATTTTAACTTGTCTAACAGTCAATTGGCATCGTTCGTGTTTTCTTGCCAAGAGTAGCTTGAAGCTTTCTCTATGGACCATTGAAGTTCATAAGAGAGCTCCAGAAATTTGCAACAACTTTACCATACCCCTGGCAATCACCTGTCTTCAATTTCACTATCAGATGCTGCAAGCAGTGACTGACCACCCTCTATCACTCAAAGAACTAGTGATTTCTTCTTGTACATTCTCTGTCATCAGTGTACTCATAACCGTCACCGGTAATCGAACATGCTCTAACCGATTCTTGCCTCAAATAGATTGGCTAAGAAAGGGGGAGTCTGGCTCAGAGAAGCAAATTATATAAGCAGCTTCTATGCATGCACCTAGATTGCATTGACAGTAGCCAACATGAGGTGAGATTCATAAGTGTCCTGAGCAGATTCCTACTCACCAATGCCAGGTACAGAAACAGCAACCTCCGAAACTCAACAGCACTCTCTGAACCTAAATGATAGAACCTAACCATACAAGCCATCAGGTAAACAGAAAGCAGAAGGTAAAAAGCATATGCTCTGCTTCAAACGTCTGCTGTTTTCACAATAAGTAGCCAGCTTAGTGACCATGTCTTCAGTGTCATCTGAGAAAGTGACGGATGCTGAAAGTTTCCAGAACAGTATTCTTCAGCTTCCGGTTTCTAACCTAGTCATAGCAGAAGTATTCAGATTTCAGCACATAAAGTGGACACAGCACACTCCTTAATTGATAAAAAATATTCCTCCACTGAATACTAAGAAACCAGTATTCTTGTCCTGGCAAAACAGCAGCTGCTCTTTGATGCTACTTCACACCTCCCACGTAGCATTGGATCATTACTACGACATTAATCTATACTTGGGACATAGTAACAGAAGTTCCTAACCCAGGCATGCAACTAAACATGGTTGTGACTAGCTGTAACTGTTGTAAGAATAACTCATCATGCTACCATAGCTAAACTACATAAAGCAAGGCGCAAGCCATCTTGACCGGTCTTAAACTAAGCTAGCAAGTCTCCGGCACCTGAAGTGCAGTTAGCTTAAAGAATGGAAGTGGTCTATGGCAAATTAACCCGAGCAACATGCCACTGTCAAGCAATTGAAGAGCATATCCTAAGGTATCAATTGTATGCTCATACTCAAGAGACAACCAGCATAACAACAACCATGTCTACCTCGGTTCAACTGATCCGAAAGATCAAAAATTCAAACAGAAAGCAAAGAAGAGTAGCTTGAGGTCAGCAATTATTTCAAGAGCATTGACCAATACCATTTCAATCCATTAAAACAAGCGGGGATGCTATATCATCAAACCTGGCTACTCCAACCAAAAATTCAAGTAACGGTAAAAGGAAAACAGGAGCTAAAAGAGGTCGATTCAACCCTACCAACTTTCAGTATCACCACGAACGCCTTGGATCACGACCTAGACTTTCGCCTGAGACGCTTTCGGAGCTTCTTGTACTTGTGCTTGTTCATCTTCTTCTTCCTCTTCTTCTTCACACTATCAGCACGGATGGTCCGGTCATCATGATCAACAACACCATCCTCGGTCTCAACGAAATCGAACCCGGCAGCTGGAATAGGGTTTAAGCCGAGCCCAAATGGGAAACTAGGGTAAACGAACCCCGACGGAGACTGCACCTTCTCCGCGGTCCCGATGCCGAAGAATGGAATTGGCCGGGGCATCGTCAGGTCCGGCACGAATCGCTGAGCGAAGACAGCGCCGGCGAGTCGAGAGTAGGTCGCCGGGTGTGGGGGAGAGGGTTTGTGCAGTACAGCCGCGATAGTGGTCGAGGAGGACGAAGTTCTTCGGAGGATCTTGGGTATTAGATTCGCCATTCTAGCTGGGAATCGATTTCTACATGAAAAGATTCGATCTTGTTTTCTCTTCCACTCCTTGTCTGGATGGCAAATCGGATCGAAATGACTCGCAGGCGGCAACAGCGCAGAAGGAAAACCGAGCAATCAGAAATCCTCTGCTATGGAAGATGGTAGAGAAACTGTAGCCAAACCGGGCACCAAAGCTTTATGGGCTAAACCCGACCCGGTTGACAATCCGCAAAAGTGAAAAATAAATAAGATTGCCCTCACGCAGGATCGAACTACGGACCTTCAGTTTACAAGACTGACGCTCTACCACTGAGCTATAAGGGCTGTTGAATGTTTAGATTATTTGTAAAAACGAATTTATAACTTTTTCAGCCGAGATTATTAGATTAACATGGGCTGAGTCAGAGTGGAGGGAACTGGAGGAGCGGAGCAGCGAACAGCCGAGGTTGAGATGGACGAACAGAATATCGACCCTGTATGTCAGTTAATCGCCGGAGCTATTCTGCGGCGAATCCTTTCTTCTCCGGCGGCGATTTATTAAACTCGCTTCTTGCTGTGTGTTTTTAGGGTTTGATCCACGCGATTTTCAAGCACGTCTGGACGAGAACAGCCCTCGGTACACTTTCCTCTCTCTCTCTCTCTCTCTCTCTCTCTCTCTCTCTCTCTCTCTCTCTCTCTCTCTCTCTCTCTCTCTCACTCCAGTATCATACTTCGTCGTTCTAGTGAATTTTTCGTGCAATTGAGAAGTCTCTCTTTCGATTTCTGCAGAGCGGGAGAAGAACGATCGCAATGAAGCTCCTACGGACGCCGATTTCGTTATTGTACTCTCTCTCTCTCTCTCTTTCTCTTCCTCCGCTGTAATTTAGGTTTCACACTGTACATTTACTTCCATCGATGCAGGTAGGCGGCGGCGCCGGAACGGCGAAGAAGAATCGCTCTACTTCCGGTATCCTCTACCGTTAGTTGCTGTTGATAAAACTGACCTGTCTTTCTTTCTAATTTCTGATACGAGTTTTGTTTCTTTCTTTTCACCAATCTTGGCAGCGAACTCCAATGCCTTGAAGCTGAGCGCGGAGCTCATCCGTATTTTCATCTCAGGTTCAGTCTTTCATCCATGGTTTACTGTACTGGAAACTACACCCAATTCCCAGTATTCAATTTGGCTTCATCTGAACTGGGTCTTCGATTTGATTGCAGAGGCAGTGCAGCGTGCCGCAGCAATCGCTGAGGCAGAGGGAGAGACCAAAATTGAGGCCACCCACTTCGAAAGGATCCTTCCCCAGTTGCTCCTGGATTTCTGAGGTCTGCAAGCTTCAAACACTTTGAATGGCCTGCTTGCGACATTTGTTGTTTAGACATAGCTGTTGCCATTTGTAAGGATTTGGTTCAGGGCGGCCTCTGTTGATCCCTTCCATTTTGCAGGCCCGAAAATTCTCTGCCATCTGCCCGTCTTTAACCCACTAGTCCGGCAGCTTTAGATACCTTAGAACGTAGGAAGTGGTCTCTGATCAGTGTAGTGGAAAAACAAGAGAGGGAGCTCCTTTGTTTTCTCATGGTCGCTGTGTTTTTCGTCTCAGCTTACTTTTACCCTTTTTCCCTACGGTTTGCTAGGTTTCCACTAAAAATGTAACCTTTTTCCATACGCCAGTCTCAAGTCAGTAAAGTAGCGATACAACGACTTAGACAGAGTCGTCTGTCCACCATGGATATGCTTTCTGGCGACTGAGCATTTTGCCCTAATTGGTGAATCAGAGCTAAAAAGCTGTATGTGATATTGAACATCTTACAAATAGAAAACCCCAAGTTGTACAGAGTCTTTCAGCATTCTGAACTGAGTAATAACAAAGAGCAAGAGACACAAGTTAACAGACAAAACTATAGAGCCCAGCAACGAGGAAAACTAGCGCCTTATTCGAGCAGTAGCGGGCACTTTTTAGACCACCGTAACTAAGAAGACACACTAGTGCTTGATTTGATCCAACATGACCCTCACATCCTTACTATTCGGCCTCTGTTTCGGGTCCTCCATGGTACAGAAGCACGCGATCTTGAGCACCAGCAGCATCTGCTCGTCGTACCCTTTCTCCATCAGCTTCGGATCGATCGCCTGAGTGGGTTTCTCAGACGTCATGACGTTCTTCAGCCACCTCACCAGGCTCATCTCTCTCGTATGCTGGAAGAACTCATCCGATGGAAGCTTCCCGATCAGCAGAACGCCAAGCAGCACCCCGAAGCTGTAGATGTCACACTTATCAGTGAACTTCAGCGTCTGATGATACTCGGGCGCAATGTACCCCACCGTTCCTGCAACGTTCGACGTGCTGATGTGGGTGTTGGCATCGGGCATCGATTTCGCCAGCCCGAAATCAGCAATCCGAGGCTCCATATCGTCGTCGAGAAGGACATTCGCCGGCTTCAAATCCCTGTGGATGATTCTGGGGCTGTGATTGATGTGGAGATACTCGAGCCCGGCTGCTATCCCTAGAGCAATCCTGTACCTTGCTGGCCAATCCAACTCCCTTCTCCCCTGAGACACCTCTTCCAATATGTTCTGCAAGCTGCCGTTCTTCATGTACTCGTAGACCAGATAGTGGCAATCGGGCCGAGTTACATGGGCCAGAAGTGGTAACAAGTTTCTGTGCCGGATCTGGCCAACGGTGCCGATCTCCGATTTGATCTGCCTCATCTTCTTGTTCATCAGCTTTGAGTCTTCGTCGGCCAAATCGGCGGCGTCTTTGGACGGTTGGGTTACTTTTTTAATCGCGATCATTTTCCCGTCGCTTCCGGGCAACTCCGCTCTGTAAACTTCGCCGCAGCCACCTCGACCGATGATTTCCAAAGAAGCCAGCCCGTCTTCTTTCTCCAGGAAAGCTAGATCCTCGGATTTCTTGATCATGGGGCTGAAGATTGCGGGGCCGCCATTTTTGCCTCCCCCTCGAATCGCGGCGAGAATCATCCTGAACAGGACGCAGAACACGAACCCCGATATGCTCCCGGCGATGCCTCCGGCGAGGAAGCCGAGGAGCCACCCGGCTAGCTTCTTCTTCCCCTTGTTGTGGCGCCGTCTGTGGGGAATCACAGGGGACGGCCCTGGAGCTCCCGCGCCGGCACTCATCGAGGAAGTCGGAGCGGAAGCTGGCGAATCGGAATTCGCCGATCTAGGAGGAATTGCCGCGCTTTCGTCGTCGTCCTCCTCGGCCAAGATGTAGCGATTCGGGTAATTGGATTTCAGCGCGGCAGGCGAGTCGGTTTCCAGCTGCTGGAGGAACCGGTTACCGGAGAGGTCGAGGAATTGGAGGTTGCGGAAGGAGCGAATCGATTTGGGGACCTGCCCGGTGAAGAAATTGTTGGCGAGGGAGAGGGTTTCGAGATTGGGGAAGTGCTTCAGGAAACCCAGATCGCCAGTCAATCTGTTGGAGGCGAGATTGAGGACGCGCAGACGGAGGAGGGACGAAACCCCTGGCGGGACTTCGCCGGTGAATCGGTTGCCGGCGAGGTCGAGGATCTCGAGCTTCCTGCAATTGGCTATCTCGGAGGGGATTGGGCCGGCGAGGCGGTTGTTGGGGAAGGAGAGCTCCTTGAGCTCGGTGAGCCGGCCGATTGCCGGCGGGAGTGTGCCGGTGAGGGACTGGGATTCGAAGACCAGCCTGGTGATTCTGAGCTCGTAGGTGTCGGCGGAGGGAGAGGTGCGGCGGCGCTCGCAGAAGACGCCGTGGAGGTTGCAGGGGGAGACGGAGGAAGTGGTGGTGTTTGTGAAACCCAAGTCTCGGCGGAGGGCGGAGAAGGCGCGGTGGTCGGAGCGGTTGAGATGGAGGCGCGCGTTCACGGAGGAGAAGAGAAGGAGGGGGAAGAGGAGGAGGAGGAGGAGTGGATTGTGGGGAATAGCCATTTTTGGTTTGGGAGGGAAGTGAGTGGGGGATGGAGAGGTTTTGTAGTTGGGAACTGGGGAGAGGCTGGCGGCCGGCCAGGTCTCGTTTTCTTCTCATCATCCTTGAGCTATGACCGCGTGGAAAAAAATGGTTGCGAGGCGGAAACCAAATGTGAAAAGAGTAGAAAATTCAGACGAGGATGAGACTTGCGAGAGTAGTAGTGGCCTGGCCAGTGGGACTGGGAAGGACACCAATAACCGGAAACCAAATTATCGGAAAAAAAAAAGGGAAAAAAACCCGGAAACCAACAAGTTTTTGGTTGTATCGAATGAGGTTGTGACCGAGGGATTGTTTAGTTGGATTTCAGTTTCAAGTTTCCTAGTTCGAATCTCATGAACGACACTTACTTTTCGCTCTCCACATCTTTATTAGCACTCCAAGCCTCAGTTTTCAGAGCAGGATCGCCATTAGTAGTGAATGAGGTCGAGGTCGTTAATTTTTCGGTGCCCACTTAGTAATGTGTTAGTTGATTGACGGTGTTATCAACCAGTGTTTGACAATATTTTTCATTATGATCCATATCCTTGGGGATAAACAGTACATGGGCGCTCGATCGTGCTTGAGCTGGCACGACACAGGCACGCTTCAGACCTATTTATTTCGTGTCGTATTTGGCACGGTCCGTCAGTTTTCGTGTCGTGTCGTACAAGCCAATTTGTTATTTTTGTCAGGTCCGGCCCGGATCCGGGCACGGTCTGAATCGTGTCGTGCCTACTCGTGCTCGTGTCATGCTCATATTTGTGTTTAACGAAAAAGGAAGAAAGTAAAAGAGGGAATGACAAAGAAGGAGAAAATTGGACGGAAAATGAAAGTATTAACCGAGAATATTTGAGAAACGTAACAACAAAGGGGAAAAGAAAATTGGAAGTATAACGAGTGAATGAGGCACGATCATTACAGTACTCAATATCACTGACTAAAAAATAGACTAGATATGAGAAAACATAAAAAAAAACATTAGAATGATGAGGATAGTATAAGATTTGTCATGCCACATAATGAGCAGTCTGATTCGCTTCCTGAAATGTATAGCGAAACTGTTCAAATAAGTCGATTATCTCTCACAAAATCACCCCACCACATACATCATCCATTAGACCATTACTTGCCTTGTTAACTTGTCCACTAGGGATGGCAATGGGTCGGGTTTTGCCAAACCCAAACTCAAACCCATAGGTTTATCCGTGAAAAAAACCCGGGGTAAAACCCACTGGGTTTGAAAACTCAAACCCAACCCGCTGGGTATCCGCGGGTTCAAGGGTACCCACGGGTTTTTGTCGTAAAAAATTTACAGTAACAAGTTCCTATCAAAATTAAAGTCAAATATCAATCTCTCAATAAAATTATCCATATATAAAACACCATTCTAGAAAATTCAACTAAATCACAAATTAACTATACAAATTGTTCAACACCAATCTAGAAAACTCAAGAAATTGAAGTCAATCACAAATTATCCATAAATAACATGATTAATTGAAAGTTTCTTCCTTTCAATGAAGTTAACTCAATCTCCAGTCGATAACATCAACTTCATTCTACACAATTAGAAAGAAAAAATTAGACATGTCTCCACAAACATAAATAAGATTAGTTGTTTAAAATATTAAATATACCGAGAAAATTAATTATATGAGTGTGGGGCGGGTACCCATGGGTCGGGTTTAGCTAAACCCAACCCAACCCGGTAAATAGTGAACGGGTTTAAACCCAAACCCGACCCAAAACCCGTCAACACGAATTTTACCCGCGTTGAACGAGTTGGGTCGGGTGGGTACCCATAGGTTCGGGTTTTGTTGCCATCCCTATTGTCCACTATTAGCATCCCAAGTGGAGTGTTTGACAATTATCACTATGGGACTATATGCTAACTTAATAAGGATTAGCGAGTGCAAATCAAATTTAGATAATATCACTTTTGGGATAGATTGTACCCAATTTTTTAGTTTGATTTTAAATTATATCTTTTACATGGGGTAACAAAAAAAAATGGATACTTAACTTTAGGGGTGTGCAATAGTTTGATCCGTAATGGACGCACCGTAACAAACGACACTTGTACCAGAATAGACCATACCAAATCGAATATAGTACGGTCATGTGGTTGGTCCCATGAATTTTCTAAATATTGAAGGAAAATGGATCGAATTGACATTTGGACCGGACCACTCTGGATCGAATGTGTTGTTCGTCGAATCCTTGGACCTAAGATGTCTTTCAGTATTGGAATGTAATTCTCGTGACCAGCCCGGACAGTTGCACATCCTTACCTAACTCTAATGTGATCTTTATTCTAAAATAAGCATAAATGTGGAAACACCAACATTGAAGGTGGGAATTGATTGAAGGCGGATAGTGAGTTGATCGACAGTGCTTTTTTTGTGTTTATAAGTATATGAATCCAAATAGACCCATTTGGATGGGACTTAAATGAGTTTACCTAAACCAGACTCAATCCAAAATCAACTCAAAATCATTAAGAGTTCATATAGGTTCATTTGGGTCCAACCCAATATTCATATGGGCAATAAAAATTGAGTCTAATTACCTGATGAGTCGACCCAATCTCATCCTATAAGTAACTTTTAGTATTCATCTCAATTATTGTGAAATTGTACCAAATTGAGTGATAGAGTATTTTGGTACTAAAATGACAGTTGAATTGTAGTTCAACTGGTTTGTACTGCTAAAATCGCCTATTATTTTGTGATTTAGTATCGGATATATTCGCTCCAACTGACCGCTACTGTAAGGTTTCTAAAACACGGATTCATGTATAGAAAGCAATGAAGAAAAACAAATATAAGCATTGAGGTGAGAAACAAGAGGAGACCGCGGTATCACACCATAGAAAAGAAAGGAGGTAGGGAAGAGAGGAGACAACTCTAATATGACGTATGACAATGGGCTAGAAAGTACGGGCAAAGCTAGTAGTAAGATGATTTCTAACACTGCGTTCACGAAAGATGGGGGAAATTGGGGAGGGAAAGTAAAATTTGGAGAGAGTGAAAATTTGAGGATAGTGAAAGAATGAGGGAAAAATAGGTGTTCAATTTTGAAGGGGAAAAGATGTTCAATAAGAAACAACAATTGTTTTCGCCCCAAATTGGGGGGGCAACTGCTACAATAGCTTTCTCCTCAGAATAACCACTCATATGTACTTAGCAAAACTTATGAACATAGGAAAAGTTCTGAATCTCTATATTTTCTCCAAAAAAATTTCTCACCCTCTATTTTCCCTCTTTTGTGATCAGAGGGTTACAACTCTTCCTATAAATTTAAGAAACTTACGTATTGTTGAATTTTATTCATATATGATATTTGTGTGCATAGTTACAATGTAAAACTCATTCCTGTTTTAGTGGTAAGTTTGCTTGATGACTCCATTAAGTTACTCCAAAATAGCATGGACGCATGAGTGGTTAATTCGTAATTTGAAATCGATTCACTCATAAATAATCTAAACACATAGTGAGTGGATGATTAATATAGGCGGATTGTGGATTGATAAATCTCCTACCCGTACTTAGTTGAATGAGTGGTGGGTGGATTGGGGTCACCCGAGTGACCGTCCCATATTATCACATGATAAAAGTTATTTCTTGTTTATACTATAAAATATTCATAATATTTTCTAACCGCTCTACACACTGACAATCGAATTCTAAATGCAGAGTATAAATTATTTTTGGACTACTATTATTGATTACTATGTTGTGTAGTGTCTACTGGATATTTGGATGCAATTATAAGTTATTAAATGTATCAGTGTCCAACGGCGGATGTAGGACATAATAGAGCACTGAACCTCAATCGAATAGAAAATTATAAACAATAATATATGATAACTATAGTTTTCATTATAATGTGAATTGTACATGACCGGTCTTTTAAAAAGCAAATTCATAAAAAATGGAGTCTTCATCCATACCAATAACATACTCTCTAAAAAAAGTTAAGCAATCAGTAAGAAATTCATCGCTCATTTTGTTGTCCAAATTAGTTTTCACATGTTAAATTGTTGGAATCGATCTATCCGTAGTAGCCGTTGAAATGGGCTAGGTCAACACTAGATGAATCAATCGACAAATCAATTTGTATTGTGTGTCCATCCATGTTTCTGCCAGTTTCTTTAGTAATCTTGCAAGGGCAGAAACTTCATATTACTGACTATGAACCACATGAGAGATAATATCATAGCTCATTCTTTAAAGAATGCTTCTAATAGCCTTCTAAGTCTCGAAGATAACTCTTGAGCAAGTTTGTAAATATTTTCTTCATCAAAAGACCAGAAAGTACTTTTAGGATCTAGTGCACCACTAAACTGAAGTAGTCTAAAATGATAACTCAACATATTTTCTTAATTAATAGACTGAAAAAAAACCAACCCCGACAAACTGGCGGATAAATTTGTTTTGGGTCTGTTCATCTCCTCGTTCTTATTTTGTTTTTTTTTGAGTTCTGACAGGGAAGGGTGATGTTTAGTCTAGAGGTTTTTTTTTATATCAATGAAACTTTATTATTATAGTCTTTTACATGTAAGACTTTTAGGATCACTATTTATTTTAAGTTTTTTCAAATGAAAATTATTGAGGCTAGAATATTTAGGTTAAATTAGAGTAGTGACTTGTATATGTTCATCTGGATCATTTTCCTACTTACAAATTAAAAAATATTTATCAAATAACATTGGAGAGACTTTTAAATAGCAGTGGGCTGAATACCTAAAATTGAAAAAGTCATACATACTATACTAGCTCTTGACTCGGAGGAGCTCTGGGTCGTGGCGCACCCCAAGACCAGCCACTGTTAGTGTCATAAAATGCGTCAAGTTTCTCTACACAATTGGCTGATCGAGTAATGAAAATTTTGATGCAAATACTACACGATCCACAAGAGACAAAGTGGGAAGTGTCTAAATTGCTATAGTCTTACTAATTTGCGAGGAACTTATTCTCAACATTAGTTCACTAGTTGGAGAATTGATTTTGCGGATTAACCCACAACCCAATCGCACTCATTCGTCACCCACCCAACCGAACCCGAAGAAAAATGAGTGTAATAGCGAATCATAATTATACCAACTCGCTAATAAGCGAGTGACTCAATTTGAGACCAAAACCCGCACAATTCCCCATTCACCTTCACCAATCCCCCACCCCTACTGGTAAGCCACACTTTTTGACACTAGATCAGTTAAATTCTCCAACTTTCAAATTCGTAATTTTAGGATTCCTTTTGAGTATCTAGTTGGTTAATTAATTTTTTTAAACACTAACGTAGACATACATTCATATTCAGTTCTGGACATATTGAAAAACATGTTGCACATTAAAATACATGATTAATTTTTTGTTCATAGTATAATCATTCGTTTTGAACATAACATATCATAAACTTTATGTTATTTTTTTTAGTGAATTTGATTATTTCAAATGACGTTTTATGTCGTTATATACAAAATGATATTAATTTTCTTCTTATCCATTTTTTTGCTATATTTTATGATGATCCTATATATATTTTCGTTCCATAGGACATCATTTTTTTTTTTTGATGGGGACCTGCTTTATAAGAAATCAAAGAGGAGTTGCAGGTACATCGTCCAGCGTAAGCTGATCCAACAGAAATACCGGAGGCCTATCCAGACAGACCTCTCTACTATCCCAGCGAGTCTCGCTTTGGGCCATAATGTGTGCCGAGTTATTGGCTTCACGTCGAGTATGCTGCACCATGTCCGAACTAGAATCCGCTTGCCTCAAGTATTGCCGAATGCTCCGGCAAATAATCCCCACCTCATCATTTGGTCCAGCCGACGTCTTCACAAGCTCAACAACGGCAAGACAGTCCATTTCAAGAATAACTCTCGACAGCCCCAGCTGACATGCGAGCTGCACTCCCAGTTCGACAGCTAAAGCCTCCGCCTGCTCAACATTATGATTTCCTCGCACTTTTTTCGTCGCTGCAGCAATGAAGCGCCCTTGGTGATCACGAATTACGGCTCCCAAACCAGCTCCTCCGTCCGGGCGAAGTCCCGCATCGGTATTGTTTTTTATCCAACCCTCAGGAGGGCGCGTCCATTTCATTTGTTGGGACACCAGGGAGTCATCGTCAATACCATGCTGGCAACGTTGGTATTCTTCCAGGTAGGCTTGAGCTCGAAACACTATTTCATTTTCCGGCCACTTTTCTTTATTGAACATCTGGGCATTCCTTTCCTTCCACAGTGCCCATAAGAGTGTGGCCCATCCTTCAACCTCTTCCACGGAACCCCCTGCCATTGCCTTCTCCACCCAGTCAAAACAGTTCACTACCCCCTGGATATAAAAAATCTTCGCAAGCGGTGAGGAACGCCATATCCGGCTGCTCCAGGTGCAATAAAAAAATCTATGCCGCTGCGTTTCCGGCTGGTCGCAATAGGGACATGCATCGCTTAACCTTTCATTGTGGGCACTGACTCGCTGCTCCGTCGGGAGTAAGTTGCGGGCAAACCGCCAGAGGAAGTGGCGAACCTTAGGAGGGGTGTTCAACGCCCACATCTTCCTCCAAACAGCACTAACTCCAACTGCAGCTACATTTTTCTCCACTTTGAAGTCCTCCAACCAGTAACTATAGCCACTTTTAACTGTGTACTCGCCATTGGCGCTACGATGCCAAATAATCTTATCGGCTTCGCCTTGGTTGCGTAGAGGTATTGAGATAATTTTCTGGACGATCGGGTGGGAAAACATCTCTCTAACAGCTCATAATCCCACTGATGTATTTCTGGATTGATCAGGTCGCAAACCAACGCATCCACGGGAAGCTCCCTAGGGGCCGAGGTGATAAAAAGATGTTCGCCATCCGGCAGCCAACTATCGCCCCAAATTCTGACTTGTGTACCATTACCGATCCTCCACCATAGGCCTCTGCGAAGAAATTCTTGTACTCCCATCAAACTCCGCCAAATATAACTCGGCTGGTAGCCAAGATGTGCATCCATGATCGTGCATCGCCGATGGTACTTGGCTTTGAGAAGCTTTGCAATAAGCGAATCCGGACGCTGATACAGTGACCACAATTGCTTTGCCAACAACGCAGTATTGAAACCCTTCATGTCTCTGAAGCCCATGCCTCCATTCTCCTTCTCGGCCACCAGTTCCTCCCTTCTCAGCCAGTGTGCATGCCGTTCAGTTCCCCTTTGACCCCACCAGAAATTTGTAATCAGGCTATGGATCTCGTCAAGTGTTCCGTCCGGGATCTTAAAGACTGACATGGGGTATGTCAGCTGAGCCTGAGCCACTGACTTAATCAGTACTTCTCTTGCTGCCACTGACATGGTCCTCTCCTTCCAGCCTTTGAGCTTTTTCCGTACTCTCTCCTTCAAGCCTGTGAACAGAGCCTTCTTCGATCTGCCCACTTCCGTCACAAGCCCCAAATACTTATCCTGCTTCTCCACGATCTTCATCTGCAACGTGCCCCCAACAATAAGCTTATTATGCATTTTCACATTTGCTGCAAAAGACACCCCGGACTTTTGGTAATTGACCAGCTGTCCTGACTCTCTGGCATAGGCCTGTAAGATGCTTCTGAGCTCAAGACTCTCCTGTTGTGTGGCCCTGGCAAAAAAGATACTGTCGTCAGCGAAAAATAGATGGGTAATCACCGGGGCACCCCTTACCACCTCAAGCCCATGCAACCGATTCTCCTGTAAGGCTTTGGTTGTATAGGCTGATAATCCCTCCGCACAAAGCAGGAAGAGATACGGTGATAAGGGATCGCACTGCCGTAATCCTCTGCTAGGGGAGAAGGAAACGGATCGATGGCCATTAACAAGCACTGCGTACGAAATCGAGGTCACTCCCAACATCACCATCTTAATCCATTGCTCCGAGAAACCCATACGCCTCATCACTCCCTCCAGGAAATGCCATTCCACTCGATCGTATGCCTTAGCCATATCAATCTTAGCAGCAAAATATCCATGCTTACGTTTTTTGCTCTTCTTCATCGTGTGAAAACATTCGAACGCTGCCATCACGTTTTCTGTGATCAACCGCCCAGGCACAAAAGCACTCTGCTCAGGAGAAATGATCTTATTTAGCATTGGTTTTAGCCGATTCGCCAGCACCTTGGATAAGATCTTGTATAGGACGTTGCAGAGGCTAATCGGCCGGAACTCCTCAGGGCAATCAGGGTATGGTTGAGGCCTTCTGGCATCACTCCGGACTCCAAAATCTGCATGACTGTGGCAGTTACCTCCTCACCGACCAAATGCCAGTACCTGCGAAAAAAGAAAACCGATAGTCCGTCAGCTCCCGGGGCTTTTCGCTGCCCCATCTGCTTTAATGCCTCAAAAACTTCGTCCTTGGTGAACGATCTTAAGAGCTGGTCGTTGTCCTCCTGATCCAGCCGAACAGGTATGGACTCAAGCACTGGCCAGTTCTCCGGAACAGCGCATGCAGTGAACAACTGCTTATAGTATCCGACCATGCAATTTGAGACCTCCTGCTGGCCCACATGCCACAGGCCTGCTTCATCTCGAATACGCCTGATAGTATTTCTCTTGCGCCGAGCCGACGCTTTCCTGTGAAAATTTTTTGTATTTTTATCTCCTCCTTTTAGCCAGTCCGCCCGGGATCTCTGTTTCCAATGTTGTTCCTCGTTCTCCAACAGCTCAGCCATTTCATTCTCTAGTTGCCTGCATTGTTGGAGGTTTTCCTGCGTCTTTGGCCTTCTTTCAATTGCTCGCAATGCCCCATAGGACATCATTATATCTCGTCTTCTTATCTCTTGAAGAGAGGAGTGAGGATACGTTTTAACTTTAAGCATTTTGAAAGCAAATGCTAAAATATTCGGCCTTGTTTTTTACTCTTTTTTTTATATATATATTTTGCAAAAAAAAATCATCCCTTCTCTTGGGATAATTTGTCATCAATTTCTTTGCTTAATGAGGTACGTAAATCATAACATCTGGGAGCAAGTACCATCGACCTATTAAAAGTCTTCCATTACCTTCATAAATCATAACATCATGTCATAGAGAAGTGGCAGAAAATCCAAACTTGGCCCCAAAACTGGGTCAAGAAAGTAAACCCAAAGAAGATTAGCCCAATCGCAAAAGCTGCAGGCTCCACTCTGGATCTCACCATCAACTTGGTGTGTGCAACGAGTTGGTCTATGTCAGACTATACCAAGTTTAATCAATACTTGAATTGAATTACACCAAATTGAATATATTATGATTCATTGGTCCTATAAATTTTATAAATATTGAAGAAAATTAACAAAATTAATATTTGGACCGACCAACCAAACCAAAGTAGACCGCGACCCTACTGAATTTGGTTCAATCCGGACTTTACCGGAAAGTTGCATCCAATTTCTCCAGACCTTAATTTTCAATAAGTCAAGTCAACTGAAAGGAAATTATGCAAGTCTTCAATCCATTTCTGGGCCGTTGGATCTGATATTTTGACCCCACAAGATGGACGTCTGCATCAGTCCGTAAATGTAAACGCACCCACCGAATCCCCCTTCTCCGGAGTCCGGCCCGGGGCTTAAGAACAGTCCATGGGCCGACTCAAAGCCCAATTGCGCTCGGTTGCCACTTGCCAACTATCGGGCCCAGCACACGTGGCGAGCGCAGAACGCTACATCCGGAGAATCGACGCGAAACGGGTCGGCCGCCACGCCACCCATCGTGGCGGCGGCGGCGGAGGTCGAGATTGGAGAAGAAGGATGGAGAAAGTGGGGAGGACGGAAAAGAAAAAGAAAAAAGGAAAATAAGAAAAAGGGGGAAAGAAGGGAACTCGTCAATGACAATTATGCCACCACCAATACTCCAAGGGTGTGGTGGAGTGATTGCGTACACTGTCCGAAGCAGTGGGTCTATTCTCCTTCCTTCTCCCCATCTCAACAGTCTCTTCCTAACCATCCACCACCGCCATCTCCGCGCTCCCGCCTCCTCCTCCGTCACCGCTGCCAGGGCGCCGCCGTGTTCTTCTCGTTGCCCAACTCTCCGTTCTTTCCATTTCCCTCAGAACGTCAGCTTGTTCCTCACGGGGAACTCTTCCTTCCTCAAGATGGAGGTACCACCTTCCTCTCTGTAAATTGAGATGCTGGGTTTTCGGGTTCCTTTTGTATTGAATTCTGATTTGCTGAGAGGAAGGAAGGATTGAGGACTCTACTCAGCTTTTGATAGTTGTAATCAATTACTGTTTGATTCCGGTGTCCAGAATTTGCGTAATTTGTGCGATGGGTTTTTTTTTTCTTTCTTGCTGTCAATTTTTCTCAATCACGGGGGAAATTCAGGGGTTGATTCGGACTTCGGTTTCTTGTCGATGTGAATTGAATAATGCCAGGGTCGTATTTCGAAAAGTGGGAGAATTTTGGGGATTGGGTTCATGTAAGTTAGGCCTATCTTTTGGATCATCTGCTGCGTCTGTTTTCAGGGAATTATGTGTCAAGCTTGGTGGAGTTGTTGTATTCTTCTGGCTATCGTTTATGGCTCCTGTTTACTCGCAAAAGGTGCTCAATTTTGCGCAATTTCTCGTGATTTGGAACTGAAGCCTCAAAATTGGCCTAAACCCATTCCTCATATGGAGGTCATGCTTGTGTTTGTAGTTCCTCCTATGGACATCTGTGATTGGGTTGTTTTAAGTTATTCCTATAACTGCTCCTGTAGGTGTATAGAACAGTGGCTGCCGCAGCAATTAGATTCTACATTTTGTATTGCGCCTATAGTAGGAACTGTCTTGTTGATTTTGTTAATGTCTGCAGCGGTTTTGGTCTGGTAATAGCATTGACAAGAACAAGGCTATGGTGGACAATCTGAAGCGTTATGGAGTGTTCAATTCGGACAAGGTAGCTGAAGTAATGGAGAACATCGACAGGGCTCTGTTTGTGCCGAATGGAAATTCTGCTTATGCTGACACCCCCATGCCAATTGGCTACAATGCCACCATCTCTGCACCTCATATGCATGCAACTTGTCTTCAGTTGCTGGAGGACTATCTGAAGCCTGGGATGCATGCTCTGGATGTCGGTTCAGGTGCCCCTTTCTCTTTCGATTTTCTGGTTTTTGTCATTCAGGAGAGAACTGAGACACAATGGTTGCTTGCTTGAGATGTTGATAGAATTGTGCATGGAAAAATGCTTTGGCTTTCTTGTCCAGGAACTGGATATTTAACGGCATGCTTTGCCATGATGGTGGGCCCAGAAGGCCGTGCAATTGGTGTAGATCATATTCCGGAACTCGTGGAAACATCGATCAAGAATGTTGAGAAAAGTGCTGCTGCTTCTTTGTTGAAAGATGGCTCTCTCCAACTGCATGCTGGAGGTACGTTGCAACTCAGGAAAAGAAGTTAGTAGTTTCACATTAAAACTACGGATCTTGATCCCATGACAAACGTTGTGCCCTTTATTAAACACAGATGGAAGGCAAGGTTGGCCAGAGTTTGCACCCTACGATGCAATCCATGTTGGGGCAGCGGCACCTGAAATCCCACAGCCACTGATCGAGCAGCTAAAGCCCGGCGGACGAATGGTGATTCCAGTTGGCAGCATTTTCCAGGACCTGAAGGTTGTTGACAAGAACCAGGATGGCTCCATCAGCGTACGGACTGAAACTTCAGTGCGATATGTCCCTCTGACTAGCAAAGATGCTCAATTGAGGGGCAACTGAGCTTTTTAGGATGTTGGGTTGTAACAGGGGATCACGTAAATTTCTGGCTCTAGTTATGTAAATAAATTAGTTGAGACTTTAAGCGCTATGTTACTGCCTGGTCCAGCTCTCTCTGTGCTAATGAATCAGAGCTGTTAAGTAGCATGGAATAGTGTGCTTGCTTGTAATTACCTTTTGATCAGTTGAAGGTACCCTGAATAACCAGGTCGATCGATATTTATAAATTGCTGTATTAAGCTTTGTACTACTAGATTGTTCGATATGGCTTCTCAAACGAACCGATTCCAGCTAAATGTTTGCACCGTACCAGTCTGGAATCATGGTAGGCCTCTTATCATTTTCCAGACAACGCTCAATAGTTGATGAATATTTGAATAAGCACAGTCTGCAACTTGCTCAGTTTTAGAATTCTACAGTGAGGGGCTGCAAGCCATGCAATTTCGGCCTGCGAAAAGTAGCTATGGAGGCCGATACCTTCATCACTTGAAGTGCAGCTATAAGGATAAAATATGCTGCTGCTGCTCAATGCACTAAAGCCTTGGGGCATACATTAAGAAATGTGACGAGAAACAACATTCCTTTATACAGCATGTTGAAGAAACCACCTGGATAAAATCTTATAGCTAATGGATAAATGAAACTGAAAACTCAGACCCTCTCATCTTCTGGTCTTCCCCAACAAGCCAGACCACCGTCCCAAAAAGGAAGGAAAAAATTATGGTGACCCTCCTGTCTTATAATCTGCAGAGAGATTAGAAGGATCGCCTTTGTCTGTCCTCTGCAACATTCACTCGGATTGCCCTTCCATCAAGAGACTGCAAAAGGAAGAGAACAGTTCTAAGAAAACCTCGCTCTTTATCACTACAGTCTACAAAGTACCAGCATAATATATCACGTAAATGCAAAGATGCATATACCTGTCCATCAAGAGCGGCAATGGCATCGTTCATCTCCGTCTCATCAGCCATCGTCACAAACCCGAACCCACGTGAGCGGCCGCTGTCCCTGTCATAGACTACTCGAGCATTTGTGACCTTGCCATGCTCGCTGAAGACTTGCTCGAGGCGAGTATCATCGACGCTCCATGGTAGGTTCCCAACGTAGACTCTGCAACCAGGTTCAAACGCACGAGGAGCACGCTCTGGCCTTGATCCTCTTGGAGCAGCTTTGTTTACTGTCAAGAACCTCCCTCCCATGTCCTGTGTACATCACCAAGTTGAACTCAGTTGAAGGTAATATCAAACCAAGTTTGCTCAGAGGAATGCCATTAGTTCAAAAATTCATGCATATCCTACTAACATAAAGACAAGTCAATGATGGCTGAGTAGAACGTTCGACATTATTAGACCTTATCCTAAAATGCAGCACAGAAGTATAGACCACAAACTGAAAGCACAAATTACTTCAACCAGCTGTTTAAAAACCTACTTTCAATGGACCGAACCTCTCTATCCGGAAGATACAAGAGTTAAACCAGTTGAGAGAAAAATTAACAATTCAAAGCAGAAATGCAAACAATTTTCCTAATTCCAGCCAACTCAACAAGATTATCAATCTAAAAGCTTACATTCGTCGAATTTCAGCAGCAAAGACTCAATCTTTCAATGCTACTGACAGAGGCACTGTTTTCATTCTCACACTACTATCCTCAGATCCATACACCAGCAATCAATTGTCAAAAACAGATGGTACAGAAAAGGTCGACTTACATAACTGTTGAACTTCTCCACAGCCTTCTCAGCTTCTTCAACAGTACTCATGGTCACAAACCCGAAACCACGGCTGCTATCAGTCTCCCTGTTGTAAATCACCTGCCAACAAACAAAAGAAGATTTCACAAAGCTGCAAAATGGAAGTCAAAACCCCAGTAAAAAAGCTAAATTATTCCATCCAAACAAACCTCAGCAATCTCGACAGTTCCAGCTTGCTCGAACAGCATAGCCAATTTCTCACTATCCACATCGTACGGCAAGTTACCGACGAACACTTTGGCGTCCTCCGACGGCTCCTGCGCCTCAATTGCATCATCCCCATCTTCGGCGGCGGCGAAGGAAGCCACCGGCCCTTCCTCGGCTGCCGAATCTTCACCTTCGTTCTCCCAGCTGCTGCCTTCTTCTTCTTCTTGTTCCGAGTCGGCAATGGTGGCTGTAGTGTTCTGCTCATCCTGCTGCGCCCAATCGGAGGTCTGGGATACGAAGGGGATAAGAGAGGGGAAATGGAGGTGGGTAGTGGGTTTGAGAGAGAGGGAGTGCGAGAGATGGAGTTTGAAGGGTCGAGATGGGATTGACAGAGCGAGGAGAGGGGTTCTGGGAGTGGTGAGGATGGAAGGAAGTGATAGGAGGCAGGATTCCGCCATGGATGCGCGGGTGAAGGTTGAAGAGGAAGTCATAGGAAGGGAGTAAAGGGGAAGGTTTTAGGAAGAGGGTTTGGGGTTGAAATTTGGGAGGAGGAAGCAGGAAGGAGAAGAGGATAAGGGGGCGAAGGAGAAGAGGCAGACTAGCGGCGAGAGGAAGAAGAGAAGAGGTGTGCCTCTTAATGGCGTGTTTGGTTGTGGGGGAAAAAAAGAAGAGAAAAATCTTGCTGTTGTGACGGTCCAAATTCCAGCTGGCCTGCAAGTTTTGGGCCCTATGCTTTTTCTTTCTTTGGGCCTGTGAGTTTTTCTCCGTTCTTTGGGGCTCACAAGTCACAAGACTTTTTCTAGTTTTGGTTTTTATAATGAAGATCACCTATAGTGTTATTAGTTAATCGACTGTTGTTAAAGGGATTGGAATTAAATTCTCATGTGCTTGTGTTATTTGGTTATGTGTCTTAAAAGGGTGATTCAATGTAAAAGTGTTCTGATGATTTAGAATCATAAAATCGTAAATTTTAAAACACAATTTGGGCGGCATTTATAAGTAAAAAAACGTGGTTATGTGTAGAAGCAATTTGGTGAACTAGAAGCGTAAGAGCGAAAACTTTCAAATTTTAAAGTACATTTTTTACTACATTGATCTAATGGACAAATTTTATCCTACTAAAACTGAACTGTATAAAGTGATGATAAAAAATGTTAGGTGCGTCCATGAGGAATGTGTAGAAACCTTGTTAGTTGGAGTGAAATTTGTTAGTGAAAGTCACCTATAATTGAGCTGGGTAATATGTAGAGATTGAGTGATAAAAACCAGGATATAGGTGCTCCTGAATTGATGTAGAAGATTGGGAAATTAGTTAGATCAATTCCTAATTGATCTAACTAGGGCTTAGCAAGGAGATTGGGTGTTTGGGAAGGAAAGAGGAAGAAGAAGCTGCGAAAACAGCTGGGGAAAGGAGAGGAGGTCTTTCCAAGAGAGAGAGTAAGGGTTGCACTAGCGTCGCTCCCTGCTATGAATCCTCCTCCATTGCTGGTAGTGACGCTGTTACTTCTTCCTCCACTAAGCTTCTTGTAGCGATCTATAGAATTCTCCAACTTGTTATCTCTTCCTTCTTGCGACCTGCAAGTCTAAAAGCGATTCTCAAGGAGTTAGACTCAAACACCCTAAAGGCCGTGACGATCTCAGGTCGTAGACTTGCCATGCACAATCCAACCAGAGACTCTTCTAGTATGCCCTTACACATGTTTCCCAACTTGAGGAACTCTCCTCTATACTCCGCCACTGTTCTGGTTCGCGTTATCATATGACCTCTCAAACCACTATCACCATTGCAGGGCGCCATCCTCTAAGTAGAAGGACGCCGGATGTGCCTTCGTCTCCTCCTTAGTCGGATGATTCTTGAATCACTTGTCAGCAACATACAACCATATATCGGCATCCTACCGGTCATTGAATTTGGATTGTGACTACCGTACCTTCCGATTCCATTGCCCCATACGGAGGGTTGGAATAGCCGCCTTTCTCCCTGGCACCTCGCCCTGTCATGTCATCATTGTCGGGGTAACCCTCGTTACCCTCATGGTCCTTCCCATGCCTCTCGCCTCGCGTCCGGGTACCTGCTAGATTGCCTGTTGTTGCCTTGATTAAGCTTGGACCGATTAGGGCTTAGTAATTTTTGTTCTGTAATTGTTTAATGAGTAATCCTACTAATGTATAACTCGATAAAGAATCAAGTTTCTTGTCACGATAGGTGACAAGAACACCTAATTCACGCATTTTTTTCATTTATTCACGCCATATTTGCGTAATTCACACTATATTGACGTTATTCACGTAAGAGTGTTGCTTATTCACGCAACCAATATTGTTTAGTCACGCAACCTGGTGTTTATTCACGCATATTGTTATTTATTCACGTCATTGTAAAATTAAATTTTAAACGCTAAAATATATCAAAATGGATGTCATTGTGTAGATTATGATCAATGCAACATATTTTTACAGACTAATTGAGAATCCAAATTTAATTCCATAAAATATAGCCAACACAAATTATTAAGGGGGAAAGTCCGAATTTTCATTTACGTGAATAACTCACACTCTTACGTGAATACACACCAAATGGCGTGAATAAATACAAAAATACGTGAATAAATTGACATTAGGTGTTTTGTCACCTAACGTGACAAGAGATGTTTTCCCTCGATATGATTTAACGATAAATAAGTCCAAATAATAAAAATAACAAATATTCGTGGTTAACATTGAGCTTAAAGTTTCATTTGCTTATTTTGTGTATTTTTGTGCTTCTACGTATTGTGATTTGTGTGCTTGTTGGTTGTCTGTTGAATTTGTCATGTTCCGCTTGTAAGAATTTTTATCCCACATTTCATCTACTTTTAAGCATTGTTACTGACATTCTGTGGTGGTTTCTCCTCTATTTCCAACCATCTATGATTGAAAACATATGCAGTAAACTTGTCAAACATATATCTTCGATCAACAAATCTTCCAAGCACCTCCAAAATCTCACTCAATATGCAGAAACACAGATTCACCTCAAACATGCTTTACATAAACCCATACTTTTCACACCCACACTCCTATTGGCTTATTCCACTCACATAATACATTCTATACCATAGTAAATACATCGCTACTACAGAGCATGGAGGATGACCTGAACACCGTGCTCCGGCCGGATTGTTATGATTTGAAGTGGAGAGTGCACATAAGCAGGTGAGAGCGTGAACGCATAACGCTGAAGGATCATGGCAAGTGCAATCTTCGCTTCGTGTGCTGCGAAGTTGGATCCAGCACAAACTCGCTGTCCTATACCGAAGGGGACGAATGCAGATGCATTGTTCTTCGTCGCTTTGGCAACTCCTTCGGAGAACCTCTCTGGATTGAACTGCAGCGCGTCTTCCCCCCAAATTTCAGGATCTTGATGGAGAGTTAGAGTGTCGATGGTGAAGTATGTGTTCTTTGGCAGTGTGTGCTTCCCGAGCTGGACTTCCTTCACCACTCTCCGAGCCATCCCAATTGCAGGAGGATATAATCGCAGGGTCTCGTTGATTATCATGCTCACCTGCCGAGAGAGACGAGATATATATGTAGCAGGATTAGTCAAATTTCATTGAAATTCTTAAGACATTAAACTACGAATACATTAAAAGGGTCCTTACAGTCTTGAGCTTTGAAATCCCATCTGCATCATGTGCTCGGTCGCCCAAATGGGTCTGAACTTCCGATCTTGCTTTCTCCTGCCAATCTGTATGGATAGAAAGAAGCAACATAACCCAGGAGAGCAGAGTATTGGTTGTTTCTTGTCCAGCAAGATACACTGTCTTGCACTCATCTATGAGATCATCCTCCGAAATCCGCTTGGATTCATCGGTTTCGTGATAAGAACTCAAAAGTAACCCACAGAAGTCGCTCCCAAAGTCTTCTGCTTCACCATTCGCCACCATCTCTTCTCTCTTTCTCAGCATTCCCTGTATGACAGCTCGTATGCCTTGTTCTAGCTTTTCCGCTTCAGTATCATCTCTGCTTTTGTAGATCTTGCTGCAATCAAGTTCATGTGCGCAAAGAGACGAATCACAATTCACTCCCTTGCAGAGTTTGATTAAGGTAAGGAATAGTCTTACCTGATTCCAGGAATCCTAACTTTGAAGAAATTGGCTGCAGCAAGCTCGACCATCTTACTTAACAAGTTAAAAATGCGCTTTCCTTCAACGAAATTACTTCCAAAAGCAGTTCTCGATATGACTTCGGAAGTTAAGAACTTGAATTCTTCATACACCTCAATCTCTTTCCCCACGTGATTCTTCCACCTCTCAAGCATCATTTCTGTGCTAGCGATCATGGCCGAAGTCATGTTCTGCGCACAAGATTCATAACCCATAACCCAATTCATCGAACAGGAGTTGTTCAAAACCTTAACCACCAAATTTTGCCCAGAGAATACACCCATAACCCAATTCATCAAATGCCGTAGTGATCTGACAGTATAGCTGAAAATTGAAATCTTTTTATGTGATTGAAGGTAACCCACCAACCTTTAAGCTCTCGCCATTGAAAGCATGGTTGGCCAACTTCCTCATCTTGACCCACTTCTCACCACCAGACGTCACGAGCCCATCTCCAAGCATTGTCTTCATAATTCCTTTGGGCTCCACTTTCCGATAAGCTTTCTCCCGATCGGCCGCTACTTCCTTCACCAGATTCGGCTCCGACAAGACCAAGAAAGGGCGAGAGCCGAACCAGAACGTGAAATTCCGGCCTAATCAGCCCCAGAAAACAATAGCCACCTTCATTAGCCACAAAAAACAATCAAAACAAACTTATCAATTTCATGTCTAATTTTCCGCGCACCATAAGTCTTGGTCCAAGCGGAGAGGTGAGGTTGCAATCTCGGGTAGATGTCGTGAGAGATTCCTGACATGGGTTTCGCCATGGATGCCTGTCTGAGCTTCTTCATCTCCAGAGTGTTCCCAAAGAAGAACTTGTAGGAAGGGCCTCTGGCTCCCAGGGAGTTCAGCCGGCGCTGCAGCAGGAGGGGCTTCACCAACATGTTGTGAAGGAAGATGATCAAAGCTGCCCCGAGAAAGCCGAGGCAGAGAGTCATCGGAATAAGCATTTGTGACGCTGTGAGATTGTCCATCATTCTTCTTCTTCTTCTCGCAGTGGCGGGGGAGGGGGATAGAGCTAATGAAAACACTTTGGGCTGCGTTGAGTGTCTAGTCTCCATTTAAATACTGTAATAGTAGGGGCTGGTCGTGTAAAAGCAGGCGAGCCATACGAAAAGTGGAGTTTTAGTTCTAACAATTTTTAAAATGGCGTGGACATTGTGATGGAAATGTTCGCGCTAACATAGTCATATAATAATAGCAATGACGATATGATTAATGATATCATCATTAATGATGATGTAATGAGTTATTTATAAAACTAATACCATCTTTTAAAATGATTTTACAAACTACTCACTAAAGGGTTTTTTCAACGACTATTCTAGGGATTGCTATTGCCTATTTGTTACTCTAAAAATTCTTATTTGTCGCTTTAATTATGTTAAATTTACTCTAATACTATTAGTTTATCTTTTGCCGCCCTAAACATCTAAATTGAGTTTTATACGACAACAATTATAACAAATAAAATAGATTAGGAAGTTTTGATTCATGTTTCACCCATCAATGTTGCATCAATGTTGCACCATTACTACAGGAAATGAAGAAAATAAATAAAAAATTACAGGGAACTCGGACTGGCTTTTTTTGCATGCTCCATGTAACACAGCGGACAGGTTGAAAACCCGTTGCCGGAGAGCTCTGGACAGGTCGGCTACCTTTTTGAGCTCGCCGACGACGGGTTTTCAACCCGTTCATTGGGACTTCGGATTATATATAAAAAAAAGAAACAGCAGCGGGTCAGCATGCTGGGGAAACAGGCAGGTCAGCATGCTGAGGGACGGCAGCGACAAAATTGGTTTTACCCACTTGGAATTCTTCCTCCTTCTTCTTCCTCCTACGCCATCGTTTTGGTATTGTCGTCCTTCTAAGTCTCCAGCAACTTCCTAGCGCATCTCTCTCATCTTCCTAGTTTCGCGACATTTTTCTCTTTCCTCTCCAAAAGCAGTCGCCCTTTTGCTGGAACTCATGATAGCCAAAATATCTCTATTTGTAAAAGGCCATCTTACTGTAGACTCGCCCGTGTTTCGCTATGATGCATCGGACGGTGTTTCGCTAGACTGCAAGGAACTTACTGTAGACTCGCCCGTTGCCCACTGGACCTCTTAAGCAAAACAGGCTGTTGCGGTTTCTCCCTTATTTCCAAACGATTGAACCATCTATGATTGAATCTTATTAAAAAAAAAAACATCTATGATTGAATCTTATTAAAAAAAACCCATCTATGATTGAAACGCATTAGGTGAAACTTGTCAAAGATAAATCTTCGATCAACAAATCTTCCGAACACCACCAAAATCTCACTCAATATGCAGAAACACATATACACCTCAAACATGCTTTACATGACGCCATACTTTTCACACCCACACCCCTATTGGCTTATTCCACTCACATATACATTCTATAATCTATAGCATATCCCACCGTCAACGATACCATAGTAAATACATCGCTACTACAGAGCATGGAGGATGACCTGAACACCGTGCTCCGGCCGGATTGTTATGATTTGAAGTGGAGAGTGCACATAAGTAGGGGAGAGCGTGAACGCATAACGCTGAAGGATCATGGCAAGTGCAATCTTTGCTTCGTGTGCTGCGAAGTTGGCTCCTGCACAAACTCGTTGTCCTATACCGAAGGGGACGAATGCAGATGCATTGTTCTTTGTTGCTTTGGCAACTCCTTCGGAGAACCTCTCTGGATTGAACTGCAGCGCGTCTTCCCCCCAAATTTCAGGATCTTGATGGAGAGTTAGAGTGTCGATGGTGAAGTATGTGTTCTTTGGCAGTGTGTGCTTCCCGAGCTGGACTTCCTTCACCACTCTCCGAGCCATCCCAATTGCAGGAGGATATAATCGCAGGGTCTCGTTGATTATCATGCTCACCTGCCGAGAGAGACGAGATATATATGTAGCAGGATTAGTCAAATTTCATTGAAATTCTTAAAGACATTAGACTACGAATACATTAAAAGGATCCTTAGAGTCTTGAGCTTTGAAATCCCATCTGCATCAGGTGCTCGGTCGCCCAAATGGGTCTGAACTTCAGATCTTGCTTTCTCCTGCCAATCTGTATGGATGGATAGCAGCAACATAACCCAGGACAGCAGAGTATTGGTTGTTTCTTGTCCAGCAAGATACACTGTCTTGCACTCATCTATGAGATCATCCTCCGAAATCCGCTTGGATTCATCGGTTTCATGATAAGCACTCAGAAGCAACCCACAGAAATCGCTCCCAAAGTTTTCTGCTTCACCATTTGTCACCATCTCTTCTCTCTTTCTCAACATTCCCAATATCAAAGCTCGTACTCCTTGTTCTAGCTTGTCCGCTTCAATATCATCTCCACTTTTGTAGATCTTGCTGCAATCAAGTTCATGTAGTGCAAGGAGGTGAATCACAATTCACTCCCTTGCAGAGTCTTTCATTTTAGGTAAGGAAACAATAATTAGCATTCCTAGGTAAGTCTTACCTGATTCCAGGAAGCCTAACTTTGAAGGCATTGGCTGCAGCCAACTTGACCATCTTATTTAACAAGTCAAAAATGCGCTTCCCTTCAACGAAATTACTCCCAAAAGCAGTCCTGGAAATGACTTCGGCTGTCAAGAACCTGAATTCTTCATACACCTCAATCTCTTTCCCCACATGATCCTTCCACCTCTCAAGCATCATTTCTGTGCTAGCGATCATGGCCGGAGTCATGTTCTGCCAGGGGAAAAAAAAGCACAAGGTTCATAACCGTTCAGTAGTTCAGGCATTTCATCGAACAGGAGTTGTTCAAAACCTTAAATCACCATTTTTTCTTCTTCCAGAGAATAAACCCAAAACCCATTCACCATATGCGTAGCTCAAAAGTGGAATCTTTTTTGTGATCGAAGGTTAGCCCACCAACCTTTAAGCTCTCGCCAAAGAAAGCATGGTTGGCCAACTTCCTCAACTTGACCCACTTCTCACCATCGGACGTCAAGAGCCCATCTCCAAGCATTCGCTTCATAACACCTCTGGGTTCCACTTTCCTATAAGCTTTCTCCCGATCGGCCGCTACTTCCTTCACCAGATCCGGCTCCGACAAGACCAAGAAAGGCCGAGGGCCGAACCAGAAGGTGAAGTTCCGGCCTAATCAACCAAAACAAAATAGCCAACCTTCATCAGCACAAGAAGTAATAAAAGAAAAACTCTATCAATTTGTGTCTAATTTTCCTCCTCACCGTAAGTCTTGGTCCAAGCCGAGAGGTGAGGCTGCAACCTCGGGTAGATGTCGTGAGAGAGGCCTGACATGGGTTTCGCCATGGATGCCTGTCTGAGCTTCTTCATCTCCAGAGTGTTCCCGAAGAAGAACTTGTAGGAAGGGCCTCTGGCTCCTAGTGAGTTCAGCCGCCGCTGCAGCAGGAGGGGCTTCAGCAACATGTTGTGAAGGAAGATGATCAAAGCTGCCCCAAGAAAGCCGAGGCAGAGAGCCATGGGAACGAGCATCTGTGAAGTTGTGAGATTGTCAATAATTCTTCTTCTCGCAGTGGCGAGGGAGGGGATAGAGCTAATGAAACTTTGGGCTGCGTTCGAGTTTCCTCATAAAAACAGGATATCAGAAGGAAAAGTCAATTATTCGAGCTAATACAGTCATATAATAATGACAAATTATAATATAAGGGTTGTTTGGAAGTTGCCATAGTTTTGTTGAGATTGTCAATTTGTCATTATGCATGTATTGTTTATAATGCATCATTTTTTTGTTTTTTTAGCAGAAACAATACATGAATTGTTTCTGTGATGTGACAGAAACTATCACCCATTTTGAGTGATTGTTATATCTCAATTTTTAGTTGTGATTGTTGAGATTGTTTTGTCTCAGCTTTTAGCTGATGCGACATACACAATTACACATACAAACGTTGTATTCTACAATGCATCAAATTCGACAATACATGTATAATATTGTACATGCATTCTCAACAATACATCTATTTAACAATCGCAACTTCCAAACGACCCTTAATATAACGCTGTTTTGTTCTTTTGAAGGACGTTAATTTTTGAATTTATTAAAACATCCGACCAGAGAAAAAAAGATAATGATAATCAATACTGTGAAAGGAAAATGTGGCGACAAAGAAATTAAAAAAGAATAGAAAGGGTGAAAGTGAAAGATAGAGTACATTCAAATAGGAAAATTTTCAACATGCTTTTGTTGCCCAAAATGTACTTCAATAATAATATATAATAGTGGCTAAATTATATGATTGGTTATTCGAATTACATAAAATTTTTACTTTTGCTACCTGAATTACTATTCTTTCTTATTAGCCACTAACTTTATGAATTGTTTCACCACTGGTCACCGACCGTTAGTCTCCGTTGAAGTCGTCAGATTTTTGATGACGTGGCAAACGGGAGTGCTGATTGGGCTGAAAAAGGTTGAGATGAAATTTTTAATTAAAAACAAAAATTAAACAAACAGAAAATAAAACTCATCGCATTTTGGCGTTGTCGCAGCCGATTGAGAATAGGGTTTTTCCCAACCTTCCACTCCGTCGCCGTCCCCGAGATGAGGTCGTTTCTTTACCCCCAACTCAACGACTGAAGAAGAAGAAGGTGAAGAAGAAACAACTTCTTCCTCCATGGACTCCTCGTCAGAAGATGATGGTCAAGGAGGTGACGACGACGATTCTGGGTCGAATCGAAAGAGGGAGCTTGCCATTTGTGCGGTGTGGGCTTCCAAATTAGTTGTCTCGGGGTCGAATCGGTCATGGGCTCCAGCATTGGCCTTTGAAGAGGGGCGATTGAAAAGTGAATAAGATCATTTTGTTGTATGTGAAAAGGGTTCTGCCACCCTAGTTCCAGCTGGATTGAATGACAAGGGTTCTACCGTTCGTGATGGTAAATCAAGCTACACGGCGTCGACTTCCATAATCAATGAGGTCGAATCGAGCCGGAAGCAAGAATTCGCGGCCAGATCATCAATTGCTAGGTCGGTAGAGGAGGGCTCCTTCTTCGACGGAAGAGAAGATGGAAACCCAATCGATGATGCTGCCCCGGCACCGGAAACTGAACTGACACTATAGAAATGACGGCAGAGATCAACGACTAACGCCCTTGTTTCTTTTCGTCGTGCAAAATCCCCAGACCCGACCTCGACTGAATGAAAACGTTGGCGTAGAATGGTTGAGGACGCCAGATTTGAGTTACTTCTATGGGTTTTGGATTATGACGAACTAGGGGTTCTGGTAAGCTTGCTTCTTTGTTTACAGAAGAGTAGAGATATGGCCTAGCTGCAGAGAAGTGGGGCGGATTGATTTAGTCGGCGACGGAACAAAATGGTGGTAGAAGGCGGTTGAAACTAGGGAGATTGACTATGGAGTCGACGGAGGAGGAGCATCGGCGACCATCCGAATTCTCTTGGTCTAACTAAAGTCAAAATGTTTTCTCAATAAAAGTAAAAGTAAAAGAAAATGTAAAAATGAGTCCCTCAATTGCTGTGTCGAGGCTGAATAGGCAGTCAAAACTACATGGCTCAGCCTTTTTTCAGCCCAGTCAACACTTATGTTTGCCACGTCATCAAAAATCTGACGGCGCTAACAGAGACTGACGGTCGGTGACTAATGGTGAAACAATTCATAAAATTAGTGGCTAATAAGACAGAAAAGTAATTCGGGTGGCAAAAGTGAAAGATTTATGTAATTCGAGTGACCAATCATGTGATTTAGCCAATATATAGCAAACAAATGAAAAAAGTTGTATTAATGATGATTGAATATGGGGAGTGGATCCGGTTGTGTATTGGTCATGTATAAATTTTTCTGCATTAAATTTAACAGATTATATCTTATTTATTTAACTTGAAATTCAAGGTACATAGAAAAATAAGATTAATCGTACTCTTCAAAATAGTATTAACTTTAATATATTTGAAAACATAAAAATTAAGACATATATTGTCAGTGTTTACCTCGTTGGTAATGCTTTGCAACACATAAAGATAAGATTTTGCTTAAATGTATTATGGTTGTATGACTATACCATAATACATGATAATAAAATGTATTAATCATCACGGTCTACCACCGATTTACTTCTTATACCAAAATGATATAGAATAATATATTTGGTTCATATAATAAGTCTGAAAAATACTCAATCCAAACAACTTCTAGAATGTATGAACAATGCTTACAGAAGCATCATACTTCTCACACCATAAAAATCTACGACAAAGTGTTAATCCTTTATTCTGGTCACATATACATTCTCCAGCCTTTGCCCCAGTTTATACATCTCACGGAGTAAGATGTTCCACAATCAAGCAGACCAATAATAACACATCACTGCTACAGAGCATGGAGGATGACCTGAACTCCATTCTGCGGCCGGACCGTGACGATCTGAAGTGGAGAGTGCACATAAGCAGGTGAGAGCGTAAACGCATAGCGTTGAAGGATCATGGCAAGTGCAATCTTCGATTCGTTTGCTGCGAAGTTGGCTCCTGCACAAACTCGCTGTCCTATACCGAAGGGGACGAATGCAGATGCATTGTTCTTCGTCGCTTTGGCAACTCCGTCGGAGAATCTCTCTGGATTGAACTGCAGGGCATCTTCCCCCCAAATTTCAGGATCTTGATGGAGAGCTAGAGTGTCGATGGTGAAGTACGTGTTCTTCGGGAGTACGTGCTTCCCGATTTGAACTTCCTTCACAACCTTTCGAGCCATCCCAACTGCAGGAGGGTATAATCTCAATGTCTCGTTGATTATCATGCTCAACTGCAGGGTGAGACGAATTAGATAGCAGGATTAGCCAGTTTCATTCGAGTTCATAGACATTAACCTATTTTTGCATGAAGAAAAGGGCCTTACAGTTTTGAGCTTTGAAATCCCATCAGCATCAGGAGCTCTGTCGCCGAAATGGGTCTGAACTTCCTTTCTCGCTTTCTCCTGCCAATCTGTGTGGATCGACAGAAGCAACATAATCCAGGACAGCAGAGTATTGGTTGTTTCTTGTCCAGCAAGATACACTGTCTTGCACTCATCTATGAGATCATCCTCCGAAATCCTCTTCGATTCGTCGCTTTCATGATAAGCAGTCAGGAGTAAACCAAAGAAATCGCTTCCAAAGTTTTCTGCTTCTCCACTCGCCACCATCTCTTCTCTCTTCCTCATCATTCTCAATATCGCGGCTCGTACGCCATGTTCTAGCTTGTCCGCTTCAGTATCATCTCTGCTTTTGTAGATCTTGCTGAAACCAATTCAAGTGGGGCGAAGAGGTTAAAATCTCAATTCATTGAATGAGTTGATATGAGTAGGCGGTCAAAAATTCATGCTGTCCATGGTGAATAAATACCTGATTCCAGGAAGCCTGACTTTGAAGGCACTGGCTACAGCCAGCTCGCCCATCTGAGTTAACAAGTCAAAAATGCGCTTCCCTTCAGCGAAATTACTCCCAAAAGCAGTCCTGGAAATGACTTCGGCAGTCAAGAACCTGAATTCTTCATACACCTCGACCTCTTCGCCGACGCGATTCTTCCACCTCTCAAGCATCATTTCCGTGCTAGCAATCATGGCCGGAGTCATGTTCTGCCATATGAAAACACAGTAGTGTTCACTGGTTCAGTCATTTCATCGAACATGAATCGTGCAGAACTTCTATACCGAATTTTCCCCCCCAGAGAATTAACTTAAAACAAATTCAAAAGTGGAAATCTGTTGTGCAGATTGAAGGTAACCAATCAACCAACCTTTAAGCTCTCGCCAAAGAAAGCATGGTTGGCCAACTTCCTCATCTTGACCCACTTCTCACCATCAGATGTCACGAGCCCATCTCCAAGCATCCTCTTCACGACACCTTGGGGCTCCACTTTCCGGAAAGCTTTCTCCCGATCCGCCGCCGCTTCCTTCACCAGCTCCGGCTCCGACAAGACCAAGAAAGGCAGAGGGCCGAACCAGAATGTGAAGTTCCTTCCTAATAGACCAGAACTGTTTAGTAACATGGTATAATAAACATTATTGTCTTATTGAACCTTATTGAGATATATTGATTTTTGACATCGTATCAAAGCCTTTTGTTACCGAGAGGTCTTCTGTTTGAATCGTAGTAAATATTTGAAGCTCACCGTAAGTCTTGGTCCAAGCGGAGAGGTGAGGTTGCAACCTTGAATATATGTCGTGAGAGAGGCCTGACATGGGTTTCGCCATGGATGCTTGTCTGAGCTTCTTCATCTCCAGAGTGTTCCCAAAGAAGAACTTGTAGGAAGGGCCTCTGGCTCCTAGTGAGTTCAGCCGGCGCTGGAGCAGGAGTGGCTTCAGCAGCATTTTGTGAAGGAAGATGACCAAAGCTGCCCCGAGAAAGCCGAGGCAGAGAGCCATTGGAATAAGCATTTGTGACGCTGTGAGATTGTCAATCATTCTTCTTTTTCTTCTTCTCCTCCCAGAGTTTGGAGATAAACGAAGATTGTGGAACTGAAGAATTTAAAAGCAGAAGATTGGAAGAGGAAATTCAAGTTTGTTTTTTTTTTTCCTTCAGAATTATTTTAATTATGTGGCGTTCAATGATCGTTTGTTTTATTGGACGACGTAGGTTTCAAGGTGTATTATTAACACGTCGGACCAAAAAAGAAGAAAGAGATTTGATCGAAACAGACAATGGAAAACGAACACTGAAACTGACACTGTTTTTTCTCCAAAACAAAAGAAAACAAATTATTATTGTCAACCTATCCAAATTCCAAAGAGATCAGAAAACATCTCTACTGTGGCAGATATGTCGACACCTGTTCAAAGAGATTGGAAGATATTTCTATTGGTTCATAATAACGATTTCTCGAGTAGTTACCACCTGTGAGAGGGATTGGAACGCTAATACTTTTTTTTGTTGCTCCAAACTAATAACAATTTTTCGTTTGCATAATTTTTAAATTTAAATGAGTTGACAACAATTAATGAAAATGAAGAAGACATAGGAGCACGTTGTGTATTATGAAAAATTGGGGGAGGGGAATTCACGGTGTCTTGTGCAATTAAATGGGAAGTGATGGAGGACCACAAACACAAATCTTAAGCATCGCTCTTCTTTGAGAGAACAAATTGTCTCCCAATCAATTAGGTGGACTTTCCGGCCTCCTCAGAACTACCAAGAAAAATGGTCTAATCTTCTTATCTATGTAATTTCTAACAAAAGCTAGGAGCTAGGAATGAAGTCTGCATCGTATAAGCTGGCAGTGAAGATATAATAGAATGAGCCGGCATAATACAACCAGACTACGACAAGGAATTCACCTTCCATCCTGCCAATCTCTTTTGGCGTTTGCTAACACACTAGGTTAACATGTAATTACCTATATTTTTACACTTATCAAATTTTACCAAAACGGAAAAAGCCAATATCTTACTCGGTCACTTTGTTCAATCAAAGCATCTGTATCGCGACATGAATGTATTTTAGGGCTCGTTTAGAGAATTGGAGTCTACACAATTCAAAGATCATAATTCTCCGGATTGTTGAAAATTTATATTAAAATTTTCATTGTTTGATAACTACGATTGTTAGCATCAAAAGAATCAGAGGGGCTCGTAAAATCTTGAGAATTTACCGGTAATGATATTTAGTAGGATAAATAAAAAAGAAGAAATAAAGCAGGAGGAACATAAATCTTACATATCAATATATATAATCTCTCTGATCATGAGAGATTTGATATATCTAGATTTTAAACCTCTAAAGAAAAAATCCAAAATATAAAAAGAAGAAAGAAAACATAACTTTCTTCTAAATTTACGAATTTATAGTCCAAATCATTTTCTTCAAACCCGCCCTTAATACTTTTATGATCCACTAGCTGATTTCATGATGTAAGATATGGTCCACAAAGAGTACTAAAATTACTACCAAGAACACTGCAGCACATTGTAAGTACTATAGAAAAAGTAAACCAATTTGGAATCTAGATGTAATAATCCAAGCTTGATAATTCTATCTCCAGCCGCAGAAGAAAAAAACAGTCCTACAGGTTTCTTACCTTGGGTTGTTAATTGGAAGACGCATATATAACCCTGCTCAAAATGTGATTTCAGCTTCTGTTGACCTGCAACCTCCACCCGAGAGGAGGTTCATTATGAGCAACCCATCACCAGAATTGTAGCTGAATTCCTGTTCTTCACCATCAACTCTGCAACACTTGGGTTCTCTGCTGCAGTAAACTCCGAAACGACCGCTTCCTCTTCCCAGGATCTTTATCTTACATCCTGAACCTGATGAATCCTTCATGTACTCCATACCTTCAATCGCTCCGCCTGAATTGTACATGTCCAGCAACCCAATTGGTGCGAACTCGAGATTGCAATCAAATACCTGCCCAGATGATGTTAGTTTACGTGAAGGAAGAGTGGTTTCAGAATATAAGAAAAACCAAAACTTTTTTTCCCCTGCACTGACCCTAATTGGAGAGACTGTGAGCACTTCACATTTCAGAGATTCCAGGGTCACTGCAAGTTTTCCATTCTTTGGTAACGTAGTTAAGTTTCCTGCAAGGTTGAAAGATTGTGATTGCTGAGAGCCACTAGCTAATTTAGACAACAAAAACAGTTTCTGAGAGTGGTGTTGAAAAGGTGAAGTCTGACTTGAAAAGAAGGCATATACTGCACAGTCTCCCTTCCAATCTTCGCCTGCAACTTCGTCCAGAAACTCAACATTCTGGGGACTGGCTTGGCACGTTACGAATGGCGGACCAGTTGTTGCTACTGGCTCGTTGTCAGAAACTACAGTTGATGGCCAGCTTCCAACTCCTTGGCAATTGAAAATACCCAGTACCCCACTCAACTTATTCAAGTTCCAGATTTTCAACAAGCTGTGGAATAATAACAATAATAATAATAATTTCTCTTAGGAGATACTACTTATAGATGGAAATAACCCTGGTTTTGATTTGGTGTTCTTACCTCTTCCCATCAAGTATGGGGTCACTGAACAGACAGTCCCGGGTTGGCCGGCCAGGGTATCTCGCTCTTAGTACTGAACCATCAGGTAAAACTAGCCTTCTCAGGATCTCAAAATCATGATCCCCAGGTTTGTCACTGCAAGCCATGCAATTATAGTACTTCTGCTCATCATTCAAGGAAGAAGAGATAGGAAACAATACATTCTCTCATGTTTTATCCAGTTTGATTACCACACCTGACATAGATTGGACCGCCGCCCACTGCCCTGGCCGCACTGTGGAACTCTGCCGCGAAATGGTTGCTCTACATACAGAGGTGAAGGAAGGAATAAGAACCTGATTGAATGGTGATAATTCGATGACAAACTTGATTCACAAGCAAAGCTAGCTGAACAATGTTTACATCTTTCTCACACCTGAAACATATCCCAGTCGGGCACCACAATCTCCCCCATAAGTATGCTGTTAAAAGCAATGGCAGCAACATGTGATGCCTGAAGTGTTGGAACCCTTGGCATGTAATCTTCTGATGCTCTTGCAATTGCACACTTCTTCACACTGTACAAGAAGTCTGTGGATATGCTCATTGAGGCAATCAAGTTATTGTCTTGAAAGCAATTGGAGACAGATTCAGCTAGAGCTTCCTGGTAGTTTCTCATCAGCACTGCACGTCCCCCGTAGCCAAAAGCCAGAGCTTCCAGCACGTTCTGGATGTCTACCTTAACTCCATCTGCACCACACCTGGCAAGGTAGGAGTGGAGATCGTTGTAGAAGTCATGGATTCTCGATGGATCGACCATCCCAACACCATTTTTCACCAAGCTTTCCATGGCTTTACATCTTACATGGCTCTTATTACCAGGAGACAGCACTGGGAACATCAACTTAGGGCTGTACTTCTTCAATTGTTCGGATTGTGGGTCCAAGCCGCCCCAGTAACCAACCAAAGCGTGCCACATATACACATTCCTGCAAATATTCCAAGACGTATGGAGTTAATTGTACTGCATTACTTATGCACGCTCAATGTGAATTTGTGGAGGTATTGGTACGACTTTATCCCATATTTCTGCTTGATGGTGTGGATAAACTCTTGCAGGTCACTGAACTGCTTGTTCTCTTTAATATCCACCAACCGTGTTGCAAACCTGACACATCAAGAATCAAGAGGGTATAATGTATCAGTGTCTTCTTCTCTTCAACACTGTCAAAATTTTCTTAAGGAAAGGGATCTTACTCAATAGCATTTGTGGGCGTTTCTCCATCTTTCAAGAATGGATTGTATGTATCTTGCCACCCATCATCGATGATGACAAACTGTGGTGGAGTGCCACCATTAACAAAGCTGCATGCTTGAACAATGTGATAACAACAATTGAACTATTATCAACAAATAAATGGATTAGAAGGAAAAGATTTAGGCTAGGTATGAACCTTTCAAGTCCTTGTTGGATACCCCGAGGGTTGACATTTTTATAAAATGCATCCCAGGTGCACCACCCGAACCAGTCCAGCAGTGGGGGCATCTACAAATGTAGTTGTAGGAAACTTTAGTACAGATCAACAATGTTTCAGCAACAACTCTGGCAATTCCTTGTTAAGCAAGCTGTTTCTACCTTCTTGTTGTCGATATGGCTAAAAGTGCCTTTGTGCTTCTCCAGAAACCTGAGAAAAGACAGGTGGGAACTGTAACATTTACCTTCATTTGTAGTCTTTTACATTATTTAAATTCATAAGCAAGAGTGACATACTTGACTGAGTCCTTCATAAGTTGATAAGGGTTTTGGCCTGAGCTTACGTAAAGTGCTTCCGACACGTTGGAGGTTTGAACATCTGGGTGCCCTGTACAGATCAGAAAACCAAAACAAAAGCTTGAGCACTGCTAAATCAAGCAGAAAATATATACGGAGACTTTCTATGTAAAGAATATTCCGACCACTTTCCACGCAAAGCTGGAGCTCATTCAGAGATGTTCCTTGCAAACTTGTCCTGAATTGGCCCTCCAACACAGGCAAAAACAGAACATATGATCGACTGCTGTTCTCTTGGCTGCTAGAATCGTCGTCATGATCAGGTGGTGCACTATCATCAACTGAATCATCCCAACAGTTTGCTTCCAGAAGAAGTAGCTGTGTTTCAGCTGGAACTTCACTCCCTGATCCCCCAAAGCTTGGTATCATCCACCAGATCTTGAATCTGTATAAGCACATGAACCTGTACCTCCTGCAGACAACCCACAGCAATAAGCAGCTTGCTGATCAGACAACCATTTCAAAAACTGAAAATTAGTGGTGGCTGATTCAAAACCAGTACCAAAAAAAAATAACAAGAAGCAAACTGCTCACTCTAGAACTCCCAATCTGAAAACATGATAGAAGCTACTACGATTCCCCAAGTTAGCTCCGAGGAAAGCCGAGGCAGAGCTTAATGGAGTACAGACGACATTCTCTGGAACTCCAGTTAGGATCACCTTGCCTTCAACTGTGAGGCAACCGTTGCTAACTGTTGGCGTGCTGATGATTATCATTTGCTTACGGCAGCCTCTAGCCTGTGAAGAGTTTCTTATGAACAAATGGGCTA